GCCTGATAAATCGAAGGGGGAGACGGAGAGGCAGCAGTGGCATGGCAGGAGCGGAAGGTGCCATGCTACAGCAGTGGCATGGTGGCATGGCAGGCAGGCCATGCTACAGACAGCAGCAGCGGAAGGTGGAGGAGGAGAAGATGCTGCACGCTGCAACCGAATTTGACCCATCTCCACTCCACCATGATGTGACCCCCGTTCTTCCCTTCTCCCCTCTCCCCCTTCCAGTCCTTCCAGCTAGACTGGGTACAGGAGCCGGATCAGACCAAAATCAAAGGGGAGGCGGAGAGGCAGCAGTGGCAGGCAGGCGACTCTGCAACCGATTTGAAACCTACTCTAACATTGTACAACCCATCCTTGCTTCCTCCCCCTTCCAGTCCTTCCAGCTAGACTGGGTACAGGAGCCGGATCAGACCAAAATCAAGGGGGCGGCGGAGCAGAGAGGCAGCAGTGGCAGGCAGGCAACGCGCGCAGCAACCGCTCTCAACCCATCTCCATCATCCCTCAATCCCCTTTCTTCCCTTCCCCCTCCCCGCCTCCCCCCTCCCCCCTTCCAGACTTCCAGCTAGACTGGGTGCAGGAGGCCGACCCCTCCAAGGTGAAGGGGGAGACGGAGAGGAGAGGCAGCACTGGCAGGCAGGCAACGCGGCAACCGATTTTAACCCACCTCCACCTTCCTGCAAACCCCTTTCTTCCCTTAACCCTCCCCACTTCCCCTCTCCCGTTGCAGTCCTTCCAGCTAGACTGGGTGCAGGAGCCCGACCAGGCCAAGGTGAATGGGGAGGCGGAGAGGCAGCAGCAGTGGTAGGCAGGCGATGCTGCAACCGTTCTCAACCACTCTCCACCTTTCGATAACCCCTTTTTTCCTCTCTTACTGCTCCCCCCTCGCAGTCCTTCCAGCCAGACTGGGTGCAGGAGCCCGACCAGGCCAAGGTGAAAGGGGAGGCGGAGAGGCAGCAATTGCAGGCGATGCTGCAGCAGCAGAGGGAGGTGGAGGAGACGATGTTGGATGCTGCAACCGTTCTCAACCCTTTTCCACCATCTTACAACCCCTTGTTCTCCCCTTTCCCCCGTTACAGTCTTTCCAGCTTGACTGGGTGCAGGAGGCCGATCAGACCAAAATGAAAGGGGAGGCGGAGAGGCAGCAATTGCAGGCGATGCTGCAGCAGCAGAGGGAGGTGGAGGAGAGGATGTTGGATGCTGCAACCGTTCTCAACCCTTTTCCACCATCTTACAACCCCTTGTTCTCCCCTTTCCCCCGTTACAGTCCTTCCAGCTAGACTGGGTGCAGGAGGCCGATCAGACCAAAATGAAAGGGGAGGCGGAGAGGCAGCAGTTGCAGGCCATGCTGCAGCAGCAGAGGGAGGTGGAGGAGAAAATGATGGACTCTGCTTGGCGGGAGAGTTGGCAGAACGATAAGGTGAGAGGGGAGAGGGGTAGGGGGATTGTTCCAGTCACGTCAAAGCATGGTGCAGCAGCAGAGGGAGGTGAATATTATGGATGCTGCTTGGCGGGAGAACTGGCAGAACGATAAGGTGAGAGGGAGGAGGAGAGGGGTAGGGGGATGGAGGGGGATTGTTCCAGTCACGTCAAAGCACGGTGCAGCAGCAGAGGGAGGTGAAAATGCTGGGCGCTGCTTGGCGGGAGAGCTGGCAAAACGATAAGGTGAGAGGGAGGGGAAGATCAGGAAGGCAGGAGGGAGAGATGGGTACGGGTGAGGCGGAGAGCAGTAGGGGATGTGGTTAAGTTAAGCCTCAAGGCTTGCTGCGGCCTGCAGCAGCAGAGGGAGGTGGAGGAGAGGATGGTGGATACTGCTTGGCAGGACAGCTGACTCAACGATAAGGTGAGAGGGAGGAGGGGAGGGATAGGGTGATGGAGGGGATTGTTCCAGTCACGTCAAAGCATGGTACAGCAGCAGAGGGAGGTGGGAGAGAGGATGGTGGATGCTGCTTGGCGGGACAGCTGGCAGAACGATAAGGTGAGAAGGCAGGAATGGGGGGAGGGGTGGGGCAGTAGGGGGAGGGGGATAGTGGTAGGGGAATGGGGTGTGAGGGGAGAAGATTGGACACGTCAAAGCATGGTGCAGCAGCAGAGGGGGGTGCATGAGAGGATGCTGAATGATGTTTGGTGGGATGGGAGAGCTGGCACAACGATAAGGTGAGAGGGAGGGGGAGAGGGGGGTAGGGAGGGGGAGAGGGGGGTAGGGAGGGCATGTGGGGGAAAGGCCGTTTCTATCGGATGATAGTAGCGGATAAAGCAGCAAGATCAATACATGTGTATCCTCTCACTTCTACTTTCCCCGCCCGGCCCCTCCACCCCTCGTTGCAGGTAGAGGAGAGCTTGAAGAAGGCCGTTTCACGCATGAAAGCAGCGAGGAGAGTGAAGGTAATCTTTTTCTCGCTTCTAATTTCCCCTCCCCCTCCACTCCACCCATCGTTGCAGGTAGAGGAGAGCTTGAAGAAAGCTGTGTCTCGCATGAAAGCAGCGGATGAAGCAGCGAGGCGAGCAAAGGCGGCAGAGGCTGCTGCTGCTGCTGCAGGAGGGGGAGCAGCAGGTGCAGCAGCAGCAGGAGGGGCAGCGGGTGGGAAAGGAGGGGCAGCGAGCAGTGGGGGCAAGGCGGCAGGGAAGAAGAGCAGTGGAGGGGACAAGGGCAAGGGCAAGGTGAGGTGACTTACGGCACATTCCTGCGAAGACACGTCTTTGTTTTAGGCGTCGCAAAAGCAGCGTACTGCGCTGCACCCCATTACACTTAAGTATATCAAACGTTTCCACTGCACTATATCTCATCTTTTGAGACATGAGGCTTTTGCGACATGCTTCAGGAATATACCTTCAGAGTGCTGAGAGATTTTCCCACTTTCTGCACACTCAGGTCCCACTGTTCCTCCCAGCATCCTTCTCCCTAAATCGGAAAGAAAACAAAAATCCCCGTTCTTTCAAGCGCCTTGAAAATCCCCCCTGCATGAATAAACCCGCCTTTTCTCTCCACTTTACTTGTGCTTTTCTTTCAACATTGTGCAGCGCTAACTTTTCCTGACCGAGCTTGCAACTGCCCAACAACACCTAGTGCGTGGTGCCTCTTGAGTCGACTCAATCGAACGTGACCTAGAGGGTCTGAAATGTCTGGCACTGCCATACCCTGCACTGCACTGGGAAGCTGTAGGATTGCAGTTGCATGCTTATAGAAAGATAAACTCACAAAATTATAAGCAAATCAGTACCTTCCACCAACTCATGTGCATTAGGTATTTTCCAGCCGGTGTTGTTAATTGCATAAATATACATGGTAACGCATTACCGTATCGCCCCGGATATAAGCGCAGGCCTATTAAAAGCGCATGCGCTTATATCTGGAGCAATGCGCTTATGGCCGATCCTCAATTATAAGCGCACCCCCTGTAAAACCATGTTTTATTATAAGCGCATGCATAAATTTTAATTTTAAAACCTGCTAAAAACAGTAACGAGTTTCAATTTTGAAGCGAGCCAAATTTCTTTATCGCTTCGTTTGACTCGCGAGGACCTCAGAAGCTGCGCGTCAGGTCAAGATGTGCTGGCATAGGGGCAAACTGACGTGTCTTTGCCCCTGTGTGTTGGAAAAAAATCGGTAGCGCGCGATTCTGGTTCGTGGCGCTATAAAATTTCGCCTCGATTGGAATCGTACGACTGAGATGTACATTTTGATGCTATAGATTATATATCTGTATCTGTCATTATATAAGCGCATGCGCTTATAAAAATGACTCAATTAGAAGCGCACCCCCCTTAAAAACTATGTTTTATTATAAGCGCAGGTGCGCTTCTATCCGGGGTAATACGGTACATGAATACACCCATTACCACCTGCCTGCCTCCTCCCAAGACACCCTTCCCTCTCAGAAATTGTCCCTGTCTGCACTGCTGTCTGCCCCTCCCCAACCCTCCGTCCTCCCAGTGTTCCCCATCCCTCTCACACATCCCATCACATGCCTCCTCAGTACCCTCTCTCTTCTCATCTCCATCCTTCATATCACATCACATCATATCATCTACACCCATGTTCTTTCTGCATATTCAAATAGGTCTCAAGCCCAGGGGACTATCCAGGTGCCACCCTCGAACCTTCCAACCAATCCTCTCTCTCAATTCCTCCCCATCCCTCCCGACCCTACTGCTTGCACCTGCCCTGCTGCCCATGCATCACCCACTACCTCATCCCTCCCCACCCCACGCTCACATCATACCCACACCGTTCTCTCCTCCATGTCAAAATATGTCTTCAAAGCCTCCTGTCGCGTCAGCCCTGGTGAATACCCCTCTAGCGCCCTTACCTCTTCCAACCCCTCCTCCCTCATCAATTTCTTCCTCCCCCCCCCCCCCCCCCCCCTCCTCACTGATGCCTGCACCCGCTCTGCTGCCAATGCTTCACCAATCACCATCCCTCCCCACCCCACGCTCACATCATATCCAAACCGTTCTCTCCTCCATGTCAAAATACATTCTTAAAGCCTCCTGTCTCGTCAGCCCTGGCGAATACCCCTCTAGCACCCTCGCCCCTTGCAACCCCTCCTCCCTCTCTACCCCTTCCTCCACTGCTCGCTGCACCTCCCCTGCTGCCACTGCTTCATACTCCACCAAACACCCTTTCACCGCTCCCCGTGCCTCATTTTCCAAACCATTTTTTGCTGCTGCTGGTGCGTCAGGCTCCGTTATATTACATGCTATCTCAACACACTTCTCCCCATGCCCTAAAGCCATACTCTGTACCCCCACCACCCCCCCTCCCCTCTCACTCACGCGCCTAGCCACCCTTCTAGCCGCTGCAAGGGTGGTTTGGGTGACCCGGGAGGGGGTTTGGATGGGTATGTTGTAATTGTACACCCACGGAGCAGAGCCAACTGCTACTTTGCCCTTGAGAGGGTTCGCGTGGAGGGGGCCAAAATCGGGAGGTGTTGACAGAGGCTCGGGAGGAGGTATGGAAGGAGGCTCGGGATGGGCAGCAGGGTCGACAGTGTTTTCAGCTATTCAGGCGTCTCTAAACGCGCTGCGGGCGGTCGGAAGTATCCCAGGTCGCGGCGAATGGCATCCAGAGGGCGGTTGGTGGGGCTCGCAGCGCCGTACAGATGCACGGGAACTGGGGAGCGGGAAAGGGTGGGGAGTGGTGCGTAGGAGTGGGGAGGAGTGGAGAGGGGTGGGGAAGGGTGCGGAGGGGTGGAGAGTGGTTGGGGCGAACAGGAAAGTAGTTGAGTGATCTCGCAGTTATAAGAATCTTGAGAAGTCTTGGAAATGCTCTGCGTTTCCGATAGCTCTGCGTTCTTTCGTACCTCCGTGATGCTGCCCCAGACTCCGCCCGACGTTTCTCGCTGACGTGGCAGCGTCTGCCAGCTCAGCACGGAGCAGCGGCCGGAGTGCCACGTGGTCCACCGCGCCGATGCACGGGTGGCTGCCAACGTGGCGACTCAGATCAACGGTCTCGATCGCGCGGCCCGAAAGCAGGATCACCGTCCGTTCCAGATCCCGCGCAGGCCCCGCTAATGTCACACCCGTTCGCGCGTACGGCTCGTCTTCGAACACGTGGAGGATTCTGGTTGGCGCGCGGGAGGCGGCGAGAGAGGAGGCGAGAGTTTGGAGGAGAGACGCGCAGCGCGCGAGGGAAATGTAGACGTTGGCGGCGAGTAACGGGGGCGGCATGGCGGTGACTGTAACGAGAGGAGGTCGACGTTTGTGACTGTGGGAGGATCGGGAATGGAGAGGAATTTGCTGGCCCTGTGTGAGTGGCGCGATGTACTCTGGTTTGGTCGACGAAAGCGTTGCGCACTTAATGCGCTGGCTCGACCAGGAGACTGCAGCTCCTCCGAAGACGAAAACGTAGCCGCTCGTGCTTGTCCGATTCTGCTTGTCGCCAGCGTCGTCGGCATCTGCATAGCCGACCAGACACAGCGACTCTGGTCCGCCGCCGAACTCCAGAGCGGCGTCACGAGTTTCAGCGAGGTAGTGCAGACAGCGGTCGACCTCGCGCCAGTGGTTATCGCTCTACGCTGTCAGGCCGGATCCAAGCTAAACCCTAAGCAATGTCGGGCCTCGTCGTGGTGGCCGCGAATTGCAGCGAGCCGAATGGAAGCTCATAGTATCCTTTACAGAGTTAAAACTTATTGTGCTCATTCAACTACTGATAGCAGGGCTGCTGCTGGCAATACTTCAGGACAAAACGCAAACAATATCAATCTGAGGAGAGTTTAATATCCTCTAATCATACAGCAGCGTTATATATCCTTTAATCATACATGTACTATATGCAAAACCCCATACTGTCTACCACCACCGAGACGGTTGGTGTGGATGATGAATCTCATGCTCATGCTCATGGTGTGAGTGATGATGGTGCAACGGGAAATGCATGAGCCACACAAACGCCACCCACAAATGCAACACCACCAAATACACCCACAAACTCGTCCGTGCGACCACATTAGTCCGCAACATGCCGGCCGCACTCCCCAAGAAAAGCGAATCAAATCCCAAAACCGTGTCCACCACTCCCACCACAATCGCATTCCCCGTCGGCCCGAGCCCAAAATCCCTCTGAGCCAAAGTCAATTTTCTTGATCGGTTCAAGATGGCTTCTCTTGAAAACCCCGGATCCCCCTCTATTACCTCCTCCCCTCCCTCCTCTAGAGCCCTTGCTTCCGCTGCTGACGCAGCAGCTGCCAGGTCAGCAGCAAGTGGGCCCGGGGTACTGGCGAGGAATCGCACAGTGACAGCCGCCGACGCAGGGTTTCGTCCGCTTCTGAAGAAGGTGGACAGGCGGTGTTTGTCCTTTTGCAGGGCGGCGGATTCCGTCTCGATGCGGAGGGAGAGGGTTGACTTTTCGATCTGTAGGGACTCTACTTGCTGTTGCTTCAGTATAAGCCGCTCCGTTAACTGCTGTAGCCTTGACAAGAGATTTGATTCCACCTCAGATTCTGCCTGCTGCTGGGCGGCTGCTGACTCAGCATCCTCCAGCTGCTGACGCAGCAAGGCGACCTGTTGGTGGGCATAGGGAGGGAAAACGAAGGTTCCGGTAAAAGAACACATAAGAGAACTCAACCATCTCACTCACTCACTCCCTCACTCACTCCTTCCGTCACTCCTTCCCTCACTCCCACCCCTCTCACCTCCTTCCTTATCTGTTGCAGAGTTCCCCCCAGCAGCCCGACAGATGCTGCCCCACCGCCACTCCCTCCCCCTGCAATTCCTGATGCCACTTCGACACTCCCTCCCTCCCTCACTCACTCACTCACGCACCTACTCACTCACCTCGCCCTCTCACTCATTCATCTCGCTCTCTCACTCCCTCCCTCCCTAACTCACTCACTCGCACCCCTCTCACCTCCTTCCTTCGCTGCCGCAAAGTCCCCTCCAACAAACCGACAGACGCTGCCCCACCATCACTCCCTCCTCCTGCATCTCCTCCCAATCCTGCTCCCTCTGCTCCCTCTGCTGCCCCGTGCCTGCCCGCTGCTCCTTCTGCTGCTGCTGCGCCCCCTACATCCGCAGCTGCTCCCTCCGCCTCTCTCCCCTTTTCCCCCCTCCCCACCTCTGCCCCTTCCTCTGCTGCTCCCGCTCCCTCTGCCTCGGCCTCTGCCCGTTGCACCTGCTGCTCCAGTTGCTCTATCTCCTCTGTCAGCCGGTGCACTGTGGACCAATCAGAAGCCAGCAGCTCAACCTACCAAGTGTTTGATGCACGAGAGGGAACGGAATGAGAAAAGAGTAGTAAAACAGAAAATAAATGGGATGAAAAAAAAAAAAAAAAAAAAAAACGGTCTGGGATAGGGTTTTGGTTGTACGAGAAAGGGAAGTTACTGGGTACAGACAGAGGAGAGTTCAGCATTTCCTCCTGACACAGCCACCCACCCACCTTCTCCTCCAGAGCTCTCTGGGCGGCGGCCAGTGCTGCCATGCCACTTGCCGCATCCGTCTCGTAGTGCGCCTCCCGCGCCGCCCGCTCCTTGCGCGTGGCGGCGTGCAATTGGCTCTCTGCTGTCACCGCCTCAAATCCCCTCTTCACTTGCGCTCTCAGCTCCTCTGCCTGAATGGATGAGAATACAGGGACGGGAAGCAGGAAGGGGAGAGAGAAGGAGGTGGTGAGGGAGGGGCGGGAGGAGAGAGAAACATAATCATGCAGCTGCCTCGATTCGTCTTCGCACGCGTGCTCTCAGCTCTTCCGCATGAATGGATGAGGATAAAGGGAGGGAAAGGAGAAAGGGAAGGGAAAAGGGTAGGAAGGAGAGGGGGGAAGAGAGACACTGTTTTGAAGGTGAATTGAAACCTCTCCGCACATGTGCTCTTAGCTCCTCTGCCTGGATGCGTGGGAGCAGATGGAAACGGGGGACCGGAGGGGCAGCCCTTGGTTGACGCAAGGTAGCACGCCTCAACCCACGCCTTAACCAAGGGCTGCCCCTCCGCATTGCACACACCACGCCTTAACCAAGGGCTGCCCCTCAGCATTGCACACACCACACCTTAACCAAGGGCTGCCCCTCCGCATTGCACACACCACGCCTTAACCAAGGGCTGCCCCTCCGCATTGCACACACCACGCCTTAACCAAGGGCTGCCCCTCCGCATTGCACACACCACACCTTAACCAAGGGCTGCCCCTCCGCATTGCACACACCACGCCTTAACCAAGGGCTGCCCCTCCGCATTGCACACACCACGCCTTAACCAAGGGCTGCCCCTCCGCATTGCACACACCACGCCTTAACCAAGGGCTGCCCCTCCGCATTGCACACACCACGCCTTAACCAAGGGCTGCCCCTCCGCATTGCACACACCACGCCTTAACCAAGGGCTGCCCCTCCGCATTGCACACACCACGCCTTAACCAAGGGCTGCCCCTCCGCATTGCACACACCACGCCTTAACCAAGGGCTGCCCCTCCGCATTGCACACACCACGCCTTAACCAAGGGCTGCCCCTCCGCATTGCACACACCACGCCTTAACCAAGGGCTGCCCCTCCGCATTGCACACACCACGCCTTAACCAAGGGCTGCCCCTCCGCATTGCACACACCACGCCTTAACCAAGGGCTGCCCCTCCGCATTGCACACACCACGCCTTAACCAAGGGCTGCCCCTCCGCATTGCACACACCACACCTTAACCAAGGGCTGCCCCTCCGCATTGCACACACCACGCCTTAACCAAGGGCTGCCCCTCCGCATTGCACACACCACGCCTTAACCAAGGGCTGCCCCTCCGCATTGCACACACCACGCCTTAACCAAGGGCTGCCCCTCCGCATTGCACACACCACGCCTTAACCAAGGGCTGCCCCTCCGCATTGCACACACCACGCCTTAACCAAGGGCTGCCCCTCCGCATTGCACACACCACGCCTTAACCAAGGGCTGCCCCTCCGCATTGCACACACCACGCCTTAACCAAGGGCTGCCCCTCCGCATTGCACACACCACGCCTTAACCAAGGGCTGCCCCTCCGCATTGCACACACCACGCCTTAACCAAGGGCTGCCCCTCCGCATTGCACACACCACGCCTTAACCAAGGGCTGCCCCTCCGCATTGCACACACCACGCCTTAAGTCCTTCGCATGAACTAAGTTCCGCATTGCTCCATAACCCATCTTCCATCTCTGCTGCTTTATAGCTCAACTTCCTTCTGTGTTCTGTGTTCTGTGTTCTCCCTAACGCACCTTCCGTCTCTGTTGCTGGAACAACATGTAATCTTCCTGTAATGCACTGTAACGTGCCTTCCTTCTGTTTTGCCCTATGGCTCACCTTTCATGTCTGCTGTTCAGTAGCATACCCTCTTCCTGTTCTGCTCTATAACTTAACTTCTTCCCGTGCTGCTCTGCTGCCTTTCTCGTCCTCCCCTCCGCCTCCCTCCTCTCCCCTTCCAGCACCCCCACCAGTTGACTCCTCTCCACCACGGCAGCCCGAGCCATCCCTGCAAGGCTAAGATGACTCCTGTGTTCCTCAATAACATACCTTCTTCCTGTGCTGCTCTGCCGCTTCTCTCATCCTCCCCTCCGCCTCCCTCCTCTCCCCTTCCAGCACCCCCACCAGTTGACTCCTCTCCACCACGGCAGCCCGAGCCATCCCTGCAAGGCTAAGATGACTCCTGTGTTCCTCAATAACATACCTTCTTCCTGTGCTGCTCTGCCGCTTCTCTCATCCTCCCCTCCGCCTCCCTCCTCTCCCCTTCCAGCACCCCCACCAGTTGACTCCTCTCCACCACAGCAGCCCGAGCCACCCGCACCGCCGAACCTTCCCGATCGCGCGCCCGAGCCTCCGCTGCAGCCTCGGCGGCTAGGCGCTCAGCTTCGGCACGTTGCGCCTTGGCCTGGGCGACGATAGAAGATTCCTCATCCTCCTCTTCCTCTCCCTCTTCGTCCTCATCCTCTGAATAGTCTGACCCTGAAAGGATATTACAAAAAGAGAAGTTCAAGATGCCGCAGAAAACTTCATTCACTGTACAATCTGAATTCAAATGGGGTATTGTGGGAAGGAGAAGAGCAAGAGCAAGAGCCCTGTGGATATTGTGTCATGAGGGAAAGAAGCAGTGGAAAGAGGGGGAGGGAGGAGAGGAAGAGAAAGAAGGAGAGTGGGGGGGAAAGAGGTGGAAAGGAGCGGGTGGGGGGTCGGGGAAGGACGGGGGGTAAGTGCGAGGTTGGGAGGAGGATGTGATGCGACCCCACCTGTGCTCATGTCTGTGGTACTGTAATCATTATCATCATCAACAGCATCCTGTGAATCTGGGATGAGACCACCTTTTAGTCGACTCAAACATCTGCCCACCTGTGCTCGTGTCTGTGGTACTGTAATCGTCATCATCGTCAAAATCATCGTCCTCCTCCTCATCCTCCTCCTCATCCTCCTCATCCTCCTCATCTCCCTCACTCCCTCCCTCGCTCCCTCCCTCACTCCCTCCCTCACTCCCTTCGTCATCAGCATGTTCGTCAGCTGAGATCTCACCCCCCCTTGGCCGCCCCTGCATTTGTGGACTCTCAAACAATCCTCCTCTTTGGCTCGACCCGATCCTCTGCCGGTCCGGGGTGCTGGACGCCGAACCTCCTCTTTGAGGAACGGTAAGTGCCGATTCATTATAGGCCTTTACAGGGGTTCGTTCTTGGGGTGTATCAAAACCATCAGAGCCCTTTTTCTCTCTTGCCACTTCTGTCGCTTCTGCTGCCCCTGCTGTCCCTGCTTCTGCCCCTGCTTCTGCCCCTGCTCCTGCGTTTGCTGCTTCTTCTGCTGCTGTGTCTCTTCCTGCTGCTTCTGCTTCTAACGCTGCCCCTGTTGCTGCTGTTCCTGCTGCTCCTCCCGCTTCTTCCTTCTCCTCCCTGCTCCAATGCTTGTCGCGATGCGCATGCTCCTGCCTCTCTTTCTCATGTCTCTCATGCCTCTCCTGCTCATGTTCATGCTTATGCTCATGCCTAAGTGCATCCCCATACGCATGCCTATGCACATGCTCACGACCATGCGAGGATGCGTCACCCCTCCCGCCCTCTGCACCATCCCTCAATTCATTCCCCCCTCCGCTTCCGCTTCCGCTTCCACTTGCGCCCAGCTCCCCCGTTGCGACCAACTCCCCGCCTCCGCCTTTCCCTGCGCGTGCTTCCCCCGTCCCCTTCCCCCCGCCGCCGTCCCCCCATGATGCAGCCTCCGCGGCAGCTTTCCCCCTGTCTTTCCGCTGCCGCGCATCCCTTAGGGATTTCTCAGACCCGGTCCCAGATCCTCCCATCTGCCTTTGCGATTTCTCACCACCCGTTTCTCCTGCTGCAGATCTCTCAGGGGTTGACACCTTCCGAGAAGCTTCGCCAGCCGAGCCCACCTGACTTGATCCATCAGAACCGATTGATCCTGCGACCGGAGGGGCTTCGCCAGCTGTCACTCGCGCTTCCTTCCGTCTCCCTTTGTGGATGACTCGTTTTAAGTACGCATCCAATAAGTCGTCCGCACTTGCTGTCGCTTCGCCTGCCTTGGTCTTCGTGTCGCCTGGAATCACCGAACTCCCCAATTTCGCGGGCTTCGCCGTCGACTCCGTCAAAGCATCCGTTGGATATTCCGTTAAATTTTCCGTTTCGCTGACAAGGCTCGGTTGGTCAGCTAACCCGGTTGGCACTGACGGCGGGCCCCCGTTTCGCGATGCGTCGCCTGGCCCGTCGCCTGTCATGGCTGAGCGACTCTGCTCGGCGACTGCGACAATACTACTGGAAGCCTACACGAACTCGCAGGGCAGGAGAATAGCGTACACAGTAAGCTGACGGTAACAGCGTGATCAACGAGCTTTTGCTATCCCGAATCTAAAAAAACTCCCATCAGTCTGGCTACTAGGCAAGGTCGCAAAATCTGTCTCCAAGAAAGGTCGCATGAAACACAATAAATCGTCGAAAAGTGTCGGCTGTTGTTCGGCGATTTACCTAACCTGTCAACGTTTTCGTCAGGCTCTCGCCGCTTGTCGCACAAATCTGACACACGCCTCGCCTAAAGGTTTTGCCTCGCTTGGGAAGGCTGCGGGAATGTGTAGTAAATTTTATCATCTTGATTCTTTGTTTTTTAATCTGTTTACATCTATGATTGTACAGCATCAAAGTTCTCTGTAACATTTCGTCTCCCACGTTCTGCAGCGTGATTGGTTGTCTCTGCATGTTGCAAATGGCTTCGGTGCCTCACACGTGTTGCCGAAAAAGGCATTCCAGCCGTCCCTATTGTCGAATCCACAATCGCAATTCTCGCTCTCAACCGTCGATTTTCTACTGTCGAGCCGCACCCTCTAACGGCCATATATGTAGTGCCTCCTGTCACAAAGTTCCGAAATTTGCGCTATTTACTCGCATACCCCGAAGTTCCCTCGCATACTTCCCTGAAGGCTCTAGTTTTCAGCAGCTCATCTTGTCTTCATACCGAGCAGTTTAGGGTGGCACGCTCTCAGATTCCGCTTCTCAGTTCATCACTCCAAACCCTCGCTTTGAACTTTTTGTGAGAAGTGATAAGCTCGTTCAAAGCTGTCGGTCGGTCAGGAGCTGGGCTAAACTAGGGCAGAGTTTTCCACGTGGCAGTTTCTCACCCCCACGTCGCCATGGCTCCTGGAGACCTGACCAATCGCGATGCAGATCCCTCCTTACCGTCTCACACAGTCGCAGTCGAGTCGCGCGGTAGTGTTAAAACAGAGACCGTTGACGAGACTCGCGTCAACGAGGGTCTTCGCCTTAGGAAGCTGCGGCTCGGTAGAGACGACCAGAAACGACAAACTCTCCACGTGCCAAAAGCGCACGTGCGCTCCACAGACACCGCGAGTCTATCCTCGTTACAAGCAACCCCGGAACCGGTGTCGCCCGTCGGCCGACTGTTCTTGGACGATGGTTTCTACACGACGATTCTATGTGTGCTGGAGTTTAAGAACGAAATGGAGATTAAAGAGCTAAGAGACATCCTGCAGCACACGCTGCTGCAACACCCGCGCTTCCACAGCCGCCTGGTGGGTAATAAGATGCATGATAAGTATTGAGGCGCCTGGTGGGTATTAAGATGCATGGTATGTATTAGGGCGCCTGGTGGGTACCTTTTTGAATACCATGAGTGTTGGGTGCGTTCTTATAATCTCCTCATCCTTCTCCGCCCTTTCCCTTCCCCCCCCCCCTCCCCCTTCCCCTTTTTCCAACCTCACCTCCCCTCCACTCGTCCTCATCCTCTTACCCTCCCAACTGCACCCCATTCCTCCCCATCCCTCCCCACCCCTTCTCACCCCTCCCCACCTCACCCCCACCCCTCCTCTCCGTACCCTCACTCTCATTCCTCTCTTGCTCCCACAGTTCTCTGGCCCTGGTGGCGTGCCTGCGTGGGTGCTTATGGATGCTGCTGACGTGGACCTAGAGTACCATGTCGTGGAAGAGGGAGCTGCTGACGTGGATTCGTCACAGTGCCACGTTGCGGGGGAGGAGGGAGGAGGAGGACGAGGAGGAGGAGGAAAAGGGGAAGAAGAAGGGAGGGAAAGGGGAGGGGAAGGCGAGGGAGCATTGGAATCTCACGTGGTGCGATTGCAGTCACTTCCTCCGTTTGATCCCAACCGTCCACTCTGGCAGGTCAGCAACCCTCCTGCACTGCCCCCTTGCAGCAGTTGTGTAACACTATAACCTGTCTGACGTGGTGCGATTGCAGTCACTGCCTCCATTCGATCCCAACCGTCCACTCTGGCAGGTGTGCAACCTCGTAACGTTATTGGTAGCTCGGAAACACTCGGACAGATTTGTCAGTTTGTGCGGCATGTTGGCTTGCATGTTTTGTCTGTTTAGTCAAGCCAAAAACCCTTTATGGCGGGGTCCTAATGTTTTTGCTTGGCTGAAATTTAGAAACATGCCTTTTCTTGAGACCTGTCTCCTCGGATGTCCTGTGACTGCTCGCTGGATTGCCCTCACTTGGTTGACTCTAGTTGACTCTCGTTGACACCTGTTAACTCTGGTTGACTCTTGTTGACTCTGGTTGACTCTCGTTGACCCCTGTTAATTCTCGTGACCCTTGTTGGCTCTTGTTGGCTCTTGTTGACTCGCTTGACTTTCTGCGTCAGGTGCATCTCATTCACCTGCCAGCTGGCAGCCGTCCAGGCGAGCCACGTCAGCCCCACTCTGCAGCCGTGTTCAGGTGAGTTGTGTGAAATATCAGGTGAATCTCCAGGTAAATGCTCGAACAGGCCTTCAGATGAGGCATCAGGTGACTGTTCAGGTGAAATGATTTGTGATGAAGGGATCTTATAGGCGCCTATAATGAAGTGATTTACCATAGGTGTTGGCGTATGCCTAATTGTCTGCTTCACTTTGTGTCCCTCTCTCCTTCCCACCGTCACCAGGATTCACCATGCTTTGGGCGACGGAATATCTCTCATGTCTCTCCTGCTCGCTGCCACCCGCCGAACCGACAACCCGGACCTCCTCCCGAGCCTACCAGGCAGCTTGGGTGCGTCCGCCAGGCAAAAGATCCCCCCTTCCTCCGAACCTACGGCAACCCCCCAGCACACCTCCTCTGCCTCCGCCTCTGCCTCCTCCTCTGCCGCTGCACTCACGAGTGTTGCTACCAGTGGGAAAAGCAGCAGTGGTAGGAACAGCAGCAGCGGCAGTGACGAGGCAAGCGGCAAAGGGAAAGCGGTACCAGAAGGAGTTTCCAGGAAAAGGGGGTCGTTTCAAAAGCTGTTGGAGTTGCTGTGGGTTGCGCTTGTGCGTGTGGTGGTGGCTGTGTGGCGGATGGTGCGAGTGGCGGTCAACACAACACAGCAGGTGCGTGGCAGGCAAGACAACACAGCACAGATGTGCATGAGTCGACTCACACACACACACACACATGGCTGGACTGGATTCACTATCGAAAGTAGTTGGTAACTCAGCTGATGCAGCAGGTCACCCAGCGTCCCCCATTCCCTTGTGCTGTCTGCATGCATGTGGTCCCCTGCATAACCTCCCTTTCAGATTCTCGAGTACCTAGCAGTGCTAGTTTGCATCGCTGACACGCCAACGCCCATCAAAGGAGGGCCCCACCTGCACAGCCACGCCCTGCCGCGCTGCTTTGCAGTTTCCCCTGAGATGAGCCTGGAGGACGTTTCAACCATCCGCATGGCAGTCAAGGGAGCGGTGAGTTTGAGGGGTTGCGGTGTGATTTGAGTTACTTTATCAGAGGCGCAGTGAGTTCGGTAGATTTAGCGACGACGAGTTAGACGGGACTAGACTCTCTTTTAGAGATGGGTCAAATCTTAAATCAGCCTTAAATATCCTCCACCCTCTCTCTCTCTCTTCTCTCTTCTGAAGACGGTCAACGACGTCATGCTAACGGTCATTTCCGGGGGGGTTGAGCTGTACCTTGCTCTTGTCAACCTTATAGGCGTCTCATTATCCAATCATATTCCCCCGCCTCACCCACCCTCTGCAGACGGTCAATGACGTCATGCTGACAGTCATTTCCGGTGGAATAGAGAGATATCTTGCGCTCGTCACTGCTCAGCAGGGAGGTACGTGTGCGAGGATGCGTGCGTTCGAGTGTGTGTGCGTGTGCGCGTGTGTGTGCGCGTGTGTGTGCACATGAGACTTCAAAGGCACCTCAAGGAAAAAGAGCGGTAAGTGTGTGTGTGTGGGCGTGTGTGTGTGGGGGCACATGAGTTGACCCAAAAGGCACCTAATTGGGATCAAGCAGCATGTCTTTATCCATTCTTTTATTATCTTATAAGCATTTTACATATTTTCGCATGCTCATGCATGATGTCAGTGTTTGCAAACACACATTGTTTCACTGGCTGTGTGTCAAGTCAAGGCATTGGCACTCTTCAGTCTAGCTCCCATCCTGCTATCCCCCCTCTCCCCACCTTTCAGGGAGTTCTTTGCCTCACCACCTGCGGGTCAGTGCACTGGCACTCTTCAATCTGCGACCAGCACCAGGCCTGCAGGTATGGGCTGGTTGCTGCTGGTACGATGTGGTATCATGCGGTACAACGTGGTGCCAGGAGCACAAGGTGAGTCAGTGCACTGGCACTCTTCAACCTGCGACCAGCACCGGGCCTGCAGGTAGGGGTGACTGCTGCCGGTACCATGTGCCATGCTATGGTGAGGTGTGGTGTGGCTAGCATATGAGTTGGCAGACGCGCCATCATAGACTTGTCATGGCCGCAAGGCAGGTCAGCGCCTTGCCGCCCGTCAACCTGCGACCAGCACGAGGCCTGCAGTTAAGGGCTGGCTGCTGTTTGTACCATACCTTACGGTGTGATCAGCTGTGGCTAGCATATGAGTCCGCAGGTAGGCCGTGAGAGACTTGGCAGGGGAATATCCTGCTGACACTGCCCATTCTAACCAGCATTATATTCTCATCCAACCCTCACCCACCATCAGGAGTTGAGTGAGCTGATGGCGGGGCAGAGATCACAAGCGCGGTGGGGCAACCACCTTGGGAATATCCTGCTGCCACTGCCCATCTACAGCAGAGCGCAGGGAAGGAGCTACCGGCCCAGTCAGCAAAGTGACTCAGAAGCGAGGAATGGTGAATCGCCACGTCAGCAGAGTGACTCAGAGGCCAGGAACGGCAAGGGTGATGCTAGGAGGAGGGAGGAGGTGGATAGGCTAAGGGCAGTGAGGGCGCTGTGTGCTTCAAGGAAGGACTCGCTGATGGCCCACTGGACTTACCTGAACGGACGACTGCTCATGCCACTAGTGGGGTGCAAGGTGAGGTGCGGGACGGGATGAGGTGAGGTGTGGTGTGGTGAGGTGAGGTGAGTGCCGCTGGTCCCAGCACTCCTCAAGCCTAAGGGCAGTGAGGGCGCTGTGTGCTTCAAGGAAGGACTCGCTGATGGCCCACTGGACTTACCTGAATGGCCGCCTGCTCATGCCGCTCGTGGGGTGCAAGGTGAGATGCTAGATGAGGTGAGGTGTGGTGAGGTGTAGTGTGGTGTAGTGTGGTGAGTGCCGCTGGTCCCAGCATTTCTCAAGGCTGGGTGCAGTGAGGGCGCTTTGTGCTTCAAGAAAGTTACCCTTGGCCCACTGGACTTACCTGAATGGCCGCCTGCTCATGCCGCTCGTGGGATGCAAGGTGAGAAGGCGAGGGTATTAGGCTCAGTGCTGGTTCTCATGGTGGGCACTAGCACTGCTGTGTGCTTCGAGAAAGGACTCGCTGATGGCTCACTGGACGTACCTCAATGGCCGCCTGCTCATGCCACTCGTGGGATGCAAGATGAGGTGAGGTGCGGCGAGGTGGGATGAGGTGGAGATGAGTGGAGCAGTGATAAGAGTGGGTGGGGGCAGTGAGGGCGCTGTGTGGTTCCACAAGGGACTCTCTATGTTGTATGATTGAAGGAACGAGCCTCTGATGGCTCACTGGACGTACCACAATGGACGTTGGCTCATGCCTTGCTCCCTTGCTCCCTTGCTCCCTTGCTCCCTTGCTCCCTTGCTCTCTTGCTCCCTTGCTCCCTTGCTCTCTTGCTCCCTTGCTCTCTTGCTCTCCTGCTCTCCTGCTCCCTTGCTCCCTTGCTCCCTTGCACCCTTGCTCCCTTGCTCCCTTGCTCTCTTGCTCTCTTGCTCTCTTGCTCCCTTGCTCTCTTGCTCCCTTGCTCTCTTGCTCTCTTGCTCTTTTGCTCTCTTGCTCTCCTGCTCTATTATTCTCTTGCTCCCTTGCTCCCTTGCTCTCTTGCTCTCTTGCTCCCTTGCTCTCTTGCTCTCTTGCTCTTTTGCTCTCTTGCTCTCCTGCTCTATTACTCTCTTGCTCTTTTGCTCTCTTGCTCTCTTGCTCTTTTGCTCTCTTGCTCTCTTGCTCTTTTGCTCTCTTGCTCTCTTGCTCTTTTGCTCTTTTGCTCTCCTGCTCTATTACTCTCTTGCTCCCTTGCTCTCTTGCTCTCTTGCTCCCTTGCTCCCTTGCTCTCTTGCTCTCTTGCTCCCTTGCTCTCTTGCTCTCTTGCTCTTTTGCTCTCTTGCTCTCCAGCTCTATTACTCTCTTGCTCCCTTGCTCCCTTGCTCCCTTCCTCTCTTGCTCCCTTAATCTCTTGCTCTCTTGCTCTATTACTCTCTTGCTCCCTTGCTCACTTGTTCCTTTACCTGCCCTCCCTTCTGTGCTCCCCGTCTCCTCCCACCAGCCAGTGGCAGCCCTCACGCGTCGCAGCTTGGATCAGACCACCCTCTCGCTCTCCAACGTGGTGAAGCCACACTGTGTTGACCCCTCCTTGCTCCCTTGCTCCCTTGCTCCCTTGCCTGCCCGTCCTGTGCTCTCATCAACCACCAGCCAGTGGCAGTGCTCACGCGCCGCAGCTTGGATCAGACCACCCTGTCGCTCTCCAACGTGGTGGGGCCGCTAGAAGAGGTGGCATTGCACGGCCACCCCATCACTGCCATCATTCCTTCGGTTGTTGGCAGTAACCATGTGAGAGTTGAACCCTCCTCCCTTGCACTGCCTTTTCGTTTCTGATTTCATTCGCTGACTAAATGTTCGCCTCTAGAAGTGATGGCATTGCATGGCCACCCCATCTCTGCCCTCACTCCCGGTCGTTGGCAGTAACGATGTGAGTGTATGGCTTCTTTAATATATGTTTTTATACGTCAGTACTATATTTGCAATATATGAGCTTAAAATGTTTCCTCCTTATTGTCATCCTTTTCTTCCTTCCCGGTTGGTCTAGGTTTCTTTGGCATCATCATGCGTCTTAAACCCTCTCTTGGAATTTATCCTCGTTATTGTCATCCCCACCAGGCACTGACATGTCACATCCAAACATACAAGGGAGCAGCCCTCATTGTGGTGTCTGCTGTAAAGCAGCATGTGCCAAACCCACACCTGCTCTGCCGGTGCTTCATAGAGGCCTTTCAGCAACTCAAAGACGAGGCGAAGACGATTGTCTAGCTTACTGTTCGACCCCGCTCATATGTCCTTCAGACATACCTTGTACAGAGCAGAGCAGCCTGTATAGTGGTGTTTGCTGTGAAGCATCACGTGCCAAATCCCCACCTGCTCTGTTGGTTCTTCTTAGACGCGTTTCAGCAACTGAAAGAAGAGGCGAAGACGATTGTCTAGCTTGACTGTTCAACACCCTCTCACATGCCACCTTCAGACGTACCTTGTACAGAGCAGAGCAGCCCGCATAGCGATGTCTACCGTGAAGCAGCACGTGCCAAACCCCCACCTGCTATACCACTGCTTCTTAGAGGCGTTTTGGCAACTGAACGAAGAGACGAAAGCGATTGTCTAGCTTGACTGTTCAACACAGGCTCACGTGTCATGTACATTCCGACTTACCAGTACAAGGGAGCTGCTGCATAGTGATGTGGTATCTGCCATTGAAGCAGCACGTGCCATGTATCACGTACATTCAGGCGCACCCGGTACAAGGGAGCAGTCCACTTAGTGGTGTTGCTGTAAAGCATCATGACCCAAACCCCCACCTGCTCTGCCAAATGCTTCTTAGGGGACTTTCAGCAACTTATGAAGGAAGCTAATGTGCTAGACCGGCACTTGCTCCTGCTCTGCTAGTGCTTAGTAGGGCCGATTCAGCAATTTTATAAAGGTGAGAGCTTAATTAACATTCCAAAACTTCCTGATTTTTATTTGCTAACCCCTGCTAAGAGCCTTCCGCACAATGGCACAAATATGTCGCCTTCTCGAAACCTCTAAATTTAAAAGCGGGTATGGCGCTTCTGCAGCCATAGACTACGGCTGCTGCTTCTGCTGGTGATAATGCTACTCCTACTGGCGCTGCAGCTACTCCTACTGGCGCTGCAGCTACTCCTACTGGCGCTGGCAATTAGGCATGCTAACATCAGATCTACCGCGACAGCCTGAGCCAGGTGTTGACTTGCGTGAAGGTGTTGGCGTCGTATCCGCTGACGCTCGTGATGATCCCAGGGTCCACCCAGTCCGCGCGGGAAGACGCGGCGCCCGGCCCCTTGCTCCCCGCCTCCGCCAGAAACATGCAGCTTCCCTCGTTCCACGACAGCCACCCGTCCTTCTCGATCACCGCGGGGAGGAAGGTGTTGATGAAAACCGTGAAGGCGCATTTCTTCCACGGACGGCCCAGATACACCTTCTTCGTGCCGCGATCGGCCGAGACAACAGCATCGCGAATCACGATCCCGGTTGGGGTGTCCTTGGCCCGTCCCGACGCCGTTAGGGTCCCGAAAGAGGGGCTCGGGTGAAGCTGAATCTTCGGCGCGTCGATAACAACGGCCGCGTCGCCGAAAATGAAATCCTGCGAGCCGCCAATGTAGCAGTTTTTGTAGTACTGGCGACCCGCGTCCACATACAATGTATCTTGCGATCCATCGAACGCGCAGTTGAAAAGAGCTGTTTGGTCGCCTGTGGCGCGAAACGCAACTGCTTGGTGATTCTGGGGGCCTGCCGTGTTGACGAACTTGATCCCGAAGGCGACGAACCTGTTGTGTGGTTACCAGGTGGGTGGGTATATCATGAGGCGACGCGGGACGAGAATAGAGGGACGCTGTGCGTGAGAACAGAAAGTAATGACAGAATGGGGAGAGAGAGAAATGGGCAGAAAAAAGCAGGGAAGTAAGGACAGAAAGGGGAAAGGGCGGCATTACCTGTCGCTATCCACCCCGACCGTAGCCGACTCGAAGGTCCCGGATCCGCTGCCGTAACTCGCGTCGCCCGTGATGATCGTCTTACCCGCGCCCGCACCAATCAGAACGATGTCCGTCGTCGATATCACCACCTGCTCCTTGTACGTTCCCGCGGGAATGTAAATCACGAACCGCGTGCCGCCGGGAGCGGCGTCAACGGCGGCCTGGATCGACTTGTATCCGGATCCGACGGTCGCGCTGGCGGCGAGAGACGGGCTCACGACCATCGGACCCTGGTTCGGTGACGCCTTCTTCTTGCTGCTCTTGCTGCTCTTCTTGCTGCTCTTCTTGCTGCTGCTGCTATTACTTTTCTTGTCCTTCTTATCCTTCTTATCCTCGTCATCATCGTCGTCGTCGTCGTCGTGGCGATGGCGCAATTGCCTTCTCACGGTAGAACCGCCCTCCGAATCCTCCCCGCCCGCAGCGGCGTTCAGCCTCGTTTGAAGCTCCTGAAGTTGCTCGTACAAGCCCTCCTCAAGCCAATCCATCGCGCCGTTTCCTGCGCTGGTGGATCGGACGGCCATGCGGCGTCCGCGCACGGGTGCCACATCTTCCTCCGTTGATGCGACGCTGGTAGCGGCGGCTTTGGCAGCGGCGTTGGTGATAGATAAGAGTGCTTCAAGCGTGCTTCCCGCCTTCTTAGCCGTATACTGAGAGGAAGTGGGGAAGGGGGTTCAGAACAGAAAAAAAGACCAATGCTGCTATTGAGAAGTTGTTTCGTGGTAAAGGAACGCAAGTAAGATAGCGTAAGTGCGAAAACAGCACATGCGAGTAATGCAGATGAGTGCTTTTCATTGGATGGTTTGAAACGAACCTCGAGATGCACGTAAGCGGGGAAGCCTTGCGCGGCGGGCGAGAAAGTCTGGAAGCCATCGACGCAGTTGTCGATCTGCGTGTCGGCGGCCGCCAGCCAGTACGGCACGTCGAGCTGATTCGTGCCCGCCTCCACCGCATCCCCCACCTGCCCCAGGTAGCGCAGCGCGATGGTGGCTTGTCGCGCGCAACTCCTCGCCATAACATTTGCGAAATGGTCTTCCCGCACGTTGCTTGACTTGATCTCGTTGGTTGCCTCTATCAGCGCGGCGACTTGCGTTTGCACCGCTGCGATCATGGCTGAGGTCACTTGCTCCTGGGTCTGCGGCACGACGCCTAGGGATCGCCGCGCCACGCGGAACTCTGCCGCGCAGTGGGTTCCGTTGGATGAAGCAATGCAAGCGTCGGGGTGGGAGAGGACGAGATAGTTGTCGGCCATCTCGCAGCAGGAGATGACGGTCAGCGCGAGGCCCAGTCCAGCGAATCCCCAAATCGCAGCCTTTTTCATCCAAGCGATCTCCATCGTCGAAATATGAATAGATCACAAGAATTCACTACGGACTAGAGCTCGCAGGATTGAAGGAAGAGGTAGGAGACCTCGTATAGGTGAGACCGCCAGTACTTTCGCAGTAGTCAGGGTGATTGAATGGTGAGAGAAGTGGAGTCGCAGGCAGAACTGATGGCTGCTAGAGTTTCGAAACGCAGATTTATGTGAATTTTTGCAAGAGAAACCGCAAGGGGGGCGAGGCGAACCAGCGAAGGGGCAACTCGGTAGGGGCTGTTCGACTCGGACCTTCCAAGGAGGGGCTGTCAGCTTTGCGCGGCTCGGTTTGATGGCTGGTGAAATCGAAGCGCGAAAGGCTCAGCACAACCATTGGCTGATTCGGAGCGCAGAGGGGCTGATAGCCCCGCAGCGATCAGGACTAGAGGGGCGTAAGGGCGGATCCAGTGAGCACCTAGATTTTTATTTACGGGCTACACTCAACATTGCTTGAAGGTTCAGTGAACGAAACACTTACAGAGGTCAGGGGAAGTTACAAGGCTTCTATGCATCGTCAGAACATGCGAGTGTCCGTGTGGCACCGAGGATGCTAGTCGTTAATTTGGAGAATGACCTGTGAGAAATATTTTAGAAAAGACCCATTCATGATTTTCACACCTCCATTCGTTTCGTCCCCAACTTCCAGGAGTGGGGCAAATGGTACCGCTAGGGACGTGAAGCGGCGCGTGATACCGAGTTCTTGTAACGATACATGACTAACCAGGAAAACCCCCAGCGGTTCGAGTGGATTCGTTAACAGAGGAGCTTTCAGTATAAGAAGCAAGACCAAGCCAGGAGCCCGCAGTCAATGGGATTCACCAGACAACCTGCGCATTTGCGAAAACCAAACCCAGCTTTCGCAGAGTGAAGCTTACATCGAGGTGTAACTTCCATACTCAATTTAAGTCGCCTTGAGATTCTCCTGTAGGTAAGAGCCCTTAGGAATAAATATTGAACAAGCTATGGTTTTCGAATTCCAGGTGTGCACTTGAATCTCCGCACCTCACTGCTGCCAGTCAATGTTCCTGCTGCAGGCGTTTAGCACATCAGTTACATGTGACGTTGCGAGTGTTGTTGGGGATTCGTCGTGCTGACACAGCAACGTAGTTCAGCGACGTAGTTCAGCGACGTACTAACATAGTATGTATGCAGCGTACGAGTAGTCGCACGGCGATCAAATCCGTCCAGTAACCGTGCGAACGTGTAATCGCACCTTCAAGACCCGCCGTGGCGTGTTCTGCGACAGCTGGTTACCGTTCGCCGCGATGTCGCTGACGGAGGTGGTGGTTTCGTCAGAAGTGTGGCTGACATGTGCCACGCACGCGCTCTCCACGGAAGCGGAGGAGATCATGGGTCTGCTACTCGGGGATATCCATGTACGTACCTGACTTGTGAGTCAACTCTAAAGTCATATCCACGTACGTCCTCTTTCTTATAGCGTCTCCTTTCATGGATGCCTCTTATCAGGGTGCAACTTCTTAGGAACAGTAGGGGGACAAAAATGGCGTGTGAGTAATCAGACTTCTATTGGACGAAAAAACTGGAATTCTGGAATTCTGGAATTCCACAAGAGGACAAACCTCTCGCCTCTGAACTGCCTGGGTCAACCTTCTCCCAAGCTATAATTCTTTGAACTTGAGCCGGCAGTTGCACCCTGGCTTTAATGACGTTTGTTTCGGTTTATTTTCGTCATTAGGATACATATGTGCCTCTGTGTAAAGTTCTGATTAGAATCTTTGGATTTCAATCCCTCTTCACCGTTGTTCGTCTTTCTCAACCACTCCTAGGGAATTCCCCCCTCGCCATCTCTCTTCACCTGTTGCAGATGCGACCCACTCACCGTTTATTTTCATACTGCCTGAATATATTATTACAGCATCCTCCCTTCTCCCGCTACCCTCATATGTACTCTCTCCCTCACTTCTTCTCTCCTTTCTCCCTCACCGACTCACTTCCCGGCCCCCCCCCTCCTCCCCCCCCCCCCTCTTCCCACCCCCGCTTTCAATCCCCTTCCCCCTTCCTTTTCAACCACAGTACGACCACAGTGGACGAACCCCAGTGGTCTCCGCCTTCCCCTTTCCATTCACCTCTCCCCATTCTCTCCCCCCCCCCTCCCCGCTCTCTCTCCCTTCCTTTTCAACCACAGTACGACCACAGTGGACGAACCCCAGTGGTCTCCGCAAAGATTTGGGGTGCTGCCCCGCAGGTTCGGGCAGACAGGAGAAAAGATCGAGTCGAGACAACTCCGGAGCAGCTCGCAGCAGCTTCTGCCGAGGCTGAGAGGTACGGTTGTCTTGGAACCTTTTATCTTGTGCGTGTATTAATTTGTTTGTTTTTCACTATGCGTGAGATTTACCTGCGAGCTTGCTAGTGGGTTTTCATAAGGCTGGTAACGCAACTCTCTTGTCGGCCATGCCTGCTCTCCCATGACTCCACGCTTCTACCTGCTTCCCATCCCAGCTCCTGCTCTTGGCATCATACATGTTAACCACGTTGACCACGTTGACCGCGTTATCCGCGTTGACCACGTTGACCACGTTGACCGCGTTGACCGCGTTATCCGCGTTGACCACGTTGACCACGTTGACCGCGTTGACCGCGTTGACCATTTTCGTGCATGTCATGTCATGCCATTTCATGCTATATGCTGATTGTGTCTGCATATGACATTCCATGTTATGCATGCCATGCCATGCTGCCATTTGCAGGATGTCAGCGGCCACTGGCATGAGGACACGTGTCATTGGGTGGTACCACTCGCACCCACACATCACTGTTCACCCATCCCATGTCGGTATGTGGATTGGCACATCACTTGTCAACTTTGTCAGTATGTCCACATGGTATTAAGCGAGCGCTGTATCAGCACCACATACACTCAGATCTCGTCTGTTATTTTAGCTATAAAGAACCATCGTCTTCTCTTCCTTCTCCGCTCCTGCCTCCTCATGTGCCTCCCTTCCCTCTCTCACTCCCCCCTCCCCCTCGCCCTTTCTCCTTCCGGCACTGGGCAAAAGACGCGCACGCACACAGGGCAGGGCATGTAGCAGACGCAGGACGAGGCTTCGATGGCCTCACATTCTCCTGATATGTCTCCTCTTCCTCTGTCTCCTCTCTCCCCTTGCTGCTCTGTGTGTGCATCAGACGTGCGCACACAGGGCATGTATCAGATGCTGGATGAGGGATTGTGGAACTTGGAACACCCCTTGTGCCTTCTCTTCTCCCTCCCCCCACCTTGCTCCATCGTCCTCCAGACGTGCACACACAGGGCATGTATCAGATGCTAGACGAGGGATTCGTGGGACTCATATTCTCCGCCTTCAACCGAGCCTCCTCGCATGCCCAGGTGAATTCCTCATCCTCCTCTGACCACCCTGCTCAGAGAATCTTTGTTGTTTTCTGGGTATTTTAGGCGCCGGAAATATGCTTTCTGGAGAAGGAATTGTGTGAGCATGGGAAGAGAACTTTCCCTTCCATGCATCCTGCTAGCCCATCCTCGTCCTCCCCTCCCTCCCCCTTCCCCCCACACATGCGGGTGGGTCAGCTGCAGGCGGTGGCGTTTCAGTCCGTGTCAGCGGGGGACAAGGAGCAGCGGGTTTCATTCACCCCATGCATCCTGCCCATCCTCGGCCTCCCCTCCCCTCCCTCCCCTTCCTCCCCTTTCTCCCCCTCACAGGCGGGTCAGCTGCAGGCGGTGGCGTTTCAGTCTGTCTCAGCGCGCGACAAGGAGCAGCGGGAGCAGGCAGAGCAGGGCAAGCAGAGGGAGCAGCGGAAAGGGAGGGACACGGAAAACAGAGCGCCATACATTTCATGCCTCTCATGCATCCTTCCTATTCTGTCCTCCCATCCCCCCCGCACTCAGGCGGGTCAGCTGCAGGCGGTGGCGTTTCAGTCTGTCTCGGCACGCGACAAGGAGCAGCGGGAGCAGCGGTCTCGGCACACCCCGGCACGGCGGCAGTGGGCGCAGCTGGGCACCAAGGTGGGGCGAAGCAGGGGGGAGTGTATGGTTGAAGGTGGGAGACTGACAAGGAGAAAGGGGGAAGCGCAAGTGAGGCAGCCCCTAGGTGACGCGACCCTTCTGTCTGTAGCAGGCAGGAGCTTTTTGGCAGCCCCTTTTTGGGGGACAATGCCCCACCTCCATCCATTGCTCGCCGTTGCTCTCCCTTTCCCACCTGATGCTTTCCTGCTCCTTCCTGCCTCCTCCAATTTCGACCTCGCCCTTCTTCCAGAGGGAGCCCTCCTTCCATTCCATCCATCCGTCTCGGACCTTGAACCTCAAGAGCTGGTGGTGGTGCTGGTTTTTGAGGCGCCTTAAGAACTCAACTCAATTTTCTCATTCCGTCCTGACTCTTCCACCTCCCACCTTGCTGCCCTTCGTGCAGCGAGAGCACTCGTCGCACCCCTCTGTTTCGGACCTCGAGCCGCAGGAGCTGGCAGTGGTGCTGGCTGCCGTGGATGATGACGTGTAAGTGGTGCTCACTGACGTGGATGAGTGCAAAGTCATGCTGTCTGACGTGGAGGATGTGTGCAAGTGGTGCTGGTACCCTTTAGAGAGAGCATGCGTGTTTGCAAGTGTGATCCCCATAGGTTTTTTTGGCCCCTTCGTTATGTTGTCCCTTTTTGTTTTTCCCTAAACCCTTTCATTCCCTTGCTCTCTCTCCGCATTCCTCCATCACATGTCCTCTGCCATACACCCTTCATCCCTCGCAGCCCATCCTCCGAATTCACAGCATGGGAGGTGCCAATTAAGGTGGTCCCTTCACTCAGCTTGTATGCATATTTTCACACTCTTTCCTCTCCCCCGTCTCACCCATCTCCCCCCATGCCTCTCTGCTCTCGCAGCCCATCCTCCGACTTCACGGCATGGGAGGTGCCAATAAAGGTGGTTTCCTCAGCCCGCGCCTTCCCCTCCCTGCCCCGTGCACACGCGGTGGCGCCCCTGACCCAGCTGCAGCGGATGCTGTTGTTGGAGGAGAAGGAGGCGTATGAGAAGGCGGTGGAGCACGCAGGCAGGTGCGTACACATTGCTCTGTTCCCCTCTGCTCTCCTGTCTGTGTGCCCCCTGGCCCCGCACTCCTGCGCTGCGCCCCCCTCGGCCCGAGCCTTCCCGTCCCTGCCCCGCTCACACGCCATGGCCCCTTTTTTGAATCACCACCACACCACCTACCACGTTTCACTGTCATATTCTTTCCTTTCCTCCACCCTCCGCTCCCTCCACCTCTTTCCTCCTCTACCTCCTTCCATCTTTCCTCGCCCTCCCTCTCGGCCCCAGGCACGGCGAGCCCAACCCTCTGGAGCTGGTTCACCACCACGCCGCCTACCAGGCTTACCTATCACTAACTCTCGTTTCCATCCCCTCTCCCGTCCCCTCTCCCCTCTCCTCTTCCCACCCTCTTCCCTCCCCTCTCCCGTCCCCTCTCCCCTCTCCTCTTCCGACCCTCTTCCCACCCTCTTCCCTCCCCTGTTCCCACCCTCTTCCCTCCCCTCTTCCCACCCTCTTCCCTCCCCTCTTCCCACCCTCTCCCCTCCCCTCTGCCCACCCTCTCCCGTCTTCTCTCTCTACCCCAGGCACGGCGAGGCCAAGCCATTGGAGTCGATTCATTACCACGGCACCTACCAGTCTTTCGCTCATGGCATCTCCCCCCCTCTGCCTTCCCTTTCTCTTCCCCCCTCTCCCACTCCTTCCTCCAGGCACGGAGAGCCCAACCCTCTGGAGTTGATACACCACCACGCCACCTACCAGGCAGCTTTATGCCGCTTGATGGAAACCTGGTGAGGCACGAGGCTTATAAAGGTTACATCCGATACGCCTCATTAATCACCTAGGCTTATAGACGGCACGGATGATACATTTCATGTCTTGACCTGCTAGCAAATGTGCCGCTTCAACATAAACCTGGTGAGGCACAAGGCTATAAAGGGTACTGATAGTCCGTTTTACCACACGACACCTCGTGACACCTCGTGACACCTCGTGACACCTCGTGACACCTTGTGACAGCTTATGACACCTCGTGACACCACATAACACCACCCTTGCATGTTGAGCGGCATCATTGCCATACTTACTTATCAGCCAGTTGTGAGTCCCCTTAGCCTCGTAGCGTTCTATGGGCCTTGATGTCTGTTTTACAAACCTTAGTGCTGCGTGCTGCGTCCTTTTTCTCCTTCTTTCTCTTTGTTGATGACATTCTGCCAGTCTCGTCCCGGCAATCGCTGCTCTGGAAGACATAACTCGGAGCAACAAGGCAGCAGTATGTGCTCTCTCTCGCACCTCTCTCTCACTGCTCTCGTTCTCCTCCCATCTACCCTTTTTATTCCTTCGTCGGTGCTTTCTTGCACAAGAGTTGTTGCCGGTTTCTCTCCCCCCCTCCTCCTCCCCTACGCCTCTTTCCTCTCCCTCTTCCGCCTGGCACATGTTTTCCCCCCTGTGTTCCGCCCCCCTGCATTGCCATTCCTCACGACAATGCCATTTCACCAGCTGCGGTTGAAGCAGGAGGAGCAGGCACGCGACGCACAGAGAGCAAGCCACGTTCAAGAGCAGTTTATTGTGCACACTTCTGGTGTGGCACGCTCAACCGCATCTGTAGCGACTGCACCAACTCCAGCGCATCCTAATCCTTCTGTAGCGCAAAAGCCAACTGATGTGCGTAAGGCAGCTGTAGCACGCAACCCGGCTGTAGCGCATGTTCCGGACAGTGTGCTGTCTCCAGTGCATGTAGAGATGCAGAAGCTGCAGCAGGCCGAGCAGCAGCGGCAGATGGAGAAGCAGCAGCAGCAGGCCGAGAAGCAGAGGCAGCTAGAGAAGCAGCAGAGGCAGCAGCAACGAAGGCAGGCAGAGAAGCGACAGCAGCAGCCACAGCAGCTGCAGCTGCAGACTGGTCAGGAAGGGAGGGAGGGAGAGAGAGCAGGGGCGGGGAAGGGAGCAGTTGACTACATGGCACAGTTGAGTGCTCTGCACGTCTCCTCCCCTCACTCTCCCATCGCCTCCTCTCCACCTCCCATGTCCTCTCCTCAACCTGCTCCTGTGGCACCTGGTGTGACACCTGGTGTGGCACCTGGTGTGACACCTGGTGTGAGATGTGTCACAGAAGCAGCAGCACTGCCTGTCGTATCAAGGTCTGTTGGACCTTCCACTCGGGACACGCACACACAGGCAGGGGGGCCTGCAAAACGGCATTCTGGCAATTCCAGTCATTCCAGGGAAACAGGGCAGGCGATGGGGCAGGTGCAGACCTCACGGCGTGAAGCCCCTGCACGAGGCGACAGGGCAGGTCAGAGGATCCCTGCTCTGTCAGCAGGCACGGGCACAGGCACAGATGGAGGCATGGTTACAGGCATGGCCACAGGCGTGAGCACAGGTAGAAATGCAAGCGTACAGCATGTGGCATTTGGCTCGGAGTTGGCAGCCGGAACTTCAACAGCAGTAGCAGCAGCACCAGGAGCTATGCGCGCAGTATCAGCAGCAGCAGCAGCAGCAGCAGCAGCATCAGCAGGAGCACAGGTGGTACCTGCAGAGCCCGGGATGGCAGTGCCAGGTCAGCAGTTGCTGCCTGCTTACCCCCCTTCGCCTGGATACTCGTATTCGCCAATGAACCAGCAGTCACTTGGCATGTACAAGCAGTTTCCAGATAACCACCCGCAGCATCCACGCAGTGATCACAATAGGCATCCAGGAGGGCAGCAGCATTGACTCTGTTGACTGTGTTGACCTTGATGTTGTGTCGCAGATTGTTACCTATACACATGCAAAGGTAATGGGGCTGTTAATTGTTGTTATATCATTATGCTTTAGTCACTGTGTCATGTACGGTATATTCTCTGGTGGATGCGCAATGTGAAACAAAGTGAGTACAAGATGTCAACTACAGAAAACACAGTGTACACGTGCAGTGGGTAGGGTGAGATGCTTTCAATCGAAGCACATTGGATGATTGGTCGAATACGTTTCAGGCTCTGTCACTGGGACGTCCCGAATACGTTTCGTAATGAAGGGGGCGAACACGGTTTCGGTTCTTGGTGTTGTTTCAGTAACGAAAGTTGCAAACCAAGCGTTGCTGCAAAATCGGATGTTGGGTTTTCTTGCCTTGGTGTCGTGGGGCACGCGTGGGATCCAGGATCCACGACATTGACGATCGAATCAGCGACAGTCGCGAACCGAGCCTGACGAATCAGTGTTGGTTGCTTGGGATTCAGGATGGATGTCTACTTATTTTGTGTCCTAGTAATTCATTTTGCCTTCTGCAGGTCGCGAATCGCAATCTTTAGGATTTGGAGCTAGAGACTGCACTATCATGGCGGATAATGACTGTAGAGTCAGGCTGTTTTCTAGTCCGGAAGGTTGCTCGCTAGCGAGGAGCGACAGCGGCAGCGGCAGCGGCAGCGGCAGCAGCAGCAGAGCCAGCGATTTCAGCAGCAATAATGCCGGCAACAGCGTTAGCGCTGGCAGCAGGATTAACGCCGGCTGCAGCAGCAACAGCGGCGGCAACGCTGGTGGAAATCAGGGTGCGCGGAGCGTAGCGACGTCCGCCGCTAAGTCGCCTATCATGGCGGAAGCGGAAATCCAGGCTCGAGGATACCGAGCGGAAGGTGAATCTTGTGAAGGTGGTCTTGGTGCTAGGTGGATACTGGTGGAGGTGATCCTGATGAAGGTGATTCTGGTGAAGGTGATTCTGGTGAAGGTGATTCTGGTGAAGGTGATTCTGGTGAAGGTGGTTCTGATGGAGGTGATTCTGGTGGAGGTGATCTTGATGAAGGTGATTCTTGGTGGAGGTGATCCTGATGGCGATAAAGATGCTGAATTGGGTAGATCTCGGTCGAAGCCAGTAGAAGCGTGACGTCAGTGGTTCCCTGCCTCAGATCGCTTTTACATCCCGTATGGTCCTTCCTTCCTCCCCATCCGTTTCAGCATCACACCTCAAGGCAGTGCTGGCAACAGTGTTGGGCGAATTCCGAGACGTCGATACCACGGAAGCCGTGTCTCAGATTGCAGAGCTCTGCCAACTGCTCGCGGTCACGGACGCGCACTGGTGAGTCTGCAGGTGCTGCAGCAAGGGACAGAGCAGGAGTGTCGACACCACAGAAGCTGTGTGTCAGATTGCGGAGCTCTGCCAGCTGCTAGCTGTCACGGACCCGCACTGCCACTGCCACTGCCACGGCCACTGCCACTGCCACTGCCACTGCCACCGCCTCTGCCACTGCCACTGCCACTGCCACTGCCACTGCCACTGCCACCGCCACTGCCACTGCCACTGCCACTGCCACTGCCACTGCCACTGCCACTGCCACTGCCACTGCCACTGCCACTGCCACTGCCACTGCCAGCTGCAGCAGCCCGTTCACTCTCCATCTCACCCGCACCCCACCCACTGCTTCCCCTTCCCCGGCCTTAGTAGCACTATGGCGCACCTCTCTCCAGTTTCGTGTCACGTTTGAGAATAATCCAAAGTGAGACAAACTTTCCACTTGTGCATGCTGCATAGCAGTGCCGGCAGCTGCGGCAGCCACTCTGTCACCCTCCTTCCCCCCCCCTTCCCGCTCCCCATCCTGGGCCCCCCCTCCCATTTGCGCTTTTCCCTTTCCAGCCTCCCCAGCGCTGTTACTCACCTGTCAACCCGCGCTTGGCACTGCGAGCAGCTGCTGCAGCGGATGCAGCAGACCCAGGCAAACCTAGAGGCGAGGCAGGAGCAGGTGGCTGCCCTTGCTGAGTGCATCGAAAGGTGAGGATGCAGGGAAGTGTCGTGGGGGCTTGTGAAGTGTCTCAAAAGCAACACGCGCATGGCACTGCGAGCAGCTGCTGCAGCGGATGCAGCATACCCAGGCAAACTTAGAGGCGAGGCAGGAGCAGGTTGCTGCTCTGGCTGAGTGCATCGAGAGGTAAGGGTGGGTGTGACCGTGTGTGGGCTAGAGGGCATGGCGTGGAATGTGGATGACTGCCATCACTCACCTGTTGACCCGCACGCGTGGCACTACACCCACACTGTGACCTGCTGCTAGGAGTGCTGCCACACTCAGGCCAGCCTGCAGGCGAGGCAGGAGCAGGTCACTGCTGTTGCTGAGTGCATTGAGAGGTGAGGGTGTATCTGATAGGAGGAGACTCAGAGCACCTTAAGCTAACCTCTCTCGGACTCCAACTTCTTCCGCTTCTCCCTCGCGTTTTCTTCTTCTTGGATCTGCATTTGTTTGTGGTTGTTGACCTCCTTGACCTGCTCTTTTCCACCTCCCTCTGCCACGTGGTGCCCTGTGCTGTGCTGCCAGCTGGAAGGCGCAGCTGCCATCGGACGATGACATCAGCAGGGCCACTGATGACGTGGCGGACAGGACCAGGAGAACAGCGCAGGAGCAGCAGCAGCTGAGCCTGCAGCGATCCGCCGCGCAGGTGTGTGGGTGAGAGGGTGGGGGGGAGTGATGGGTGGGGAAAGGGAGAGGAGAGCAATCAGGAGCAGCAACAGCTGAGCCTGCAACGATCTGCCGCACAGGTGTGTGTATGAGTTGGTGAGGGAGAGCTATGGAGGAATTTTTCCATTCTCCCCCAGTCTTCTCACTCATGGCAACGAGCTGCAATGCTGCTGACGTGGACACAGTTATGCTTCCTTCCACTTATCCAGGTGAGATGGTTACGATGGCTGGAAGACTAAAACGAATGGGCATCTCTCACACTCCGCTTTAGCTCTCCCTGTTTCTCACCTGCAGAACAAAGGAGGATTATGTTTCCCTCGTGTTTCCTCTCCCTCCTTTCTCTCCCCCTCCCAGGACTCACTAGAGGCTGCTGCAGGTTACAGTGCTGACGTGGACATGGCCGCCCTGCTACAGCCAGGCTAATAGATCTCCATCTATTCCTCCGCTTACCCCGCCACCCCCCCCATCTCTCACGCTCTTCCCCCCAGGGCTCACTAGAAGCTGCGGGGTACAGTGCTGACGTGGACATGGCCGCCCTGCTACAGCTGGCAACGGAGGTGCAGGGGGAGGAGGAGGAGGTGGGGCGCCTGCAGCACGATCTTGCCATCTACTCTGACCTGCCCACGGTACGGTGTGGTGCGGCGTGGTGGGGTACGTTGTGGTGTAATGTGGTGTGGTGTGGTGTGGTGAGATGTGGTGCAATGCAGTGGAAAGGGATGTGAGAGGGGATGGGGTTAGCTGGAGGAGCAGAGGGAGGAGGAGGAGGTGGGGCGGCTGCACCTGGCAATCTACTCGGACCTGCCCTCGGTATGGTGTGGTGCGGTGTGGTCTAATCTGATGCGGTAAGATGTGGTGAAAACGGATTCAAGCAGAGTTGGAGTTTAGTAGCAGGAGCAGGGGGGGGAGAAGGTGGGGCGGCGGCAGCAGCGCCTGGCGATCTACTCTCACCTGCCCGGGGTCTCAACCATTGAGGTATGGTCTGCTGCAAGGCCTGATTGAGTGCAATCCATCGGGCATATTCTTGTGTGCCACCGCCCCTCTCAATCCCTCCTCCCCCTCTGTATCCCATCCTCTGTCGTCGTCCTTCATTCTTCTCTTTCAGGACATCACTCTCGCCCGCACGCACCTGCAGAGGGAGAAGGAGCGCCAGAGGGCCTTGTCTTTGAAGCTGGAGGCGTGGAGCATGGGGGAGGAGGTGGAGGAGGGCGAGGGTTGCGCGTTTTAACAGAGTGCAAGAAGGCAGGGATACACTGGTGGTGTGGTTTAATGCCTGTCTCTTCCTCCCCCCCGTCTGCCCCCCTCAGGACATCACTCTGGCTCGCACGCACCTGCAGAGGGAGAGGGAGCGTCTTTGCTTCTGGCAGGCTCATTGGCTCTTTTTCTCCCCCACCTCTCTCTTCCCTCCATGTTTTTCCTCTCAGGACATCACTCTGGCCCGCACACACCTGCAGAGGGAGAGGGAACGGCTGAGGGCCTTGTCTAGGAAGCTGGAGGCATGGAGCATGGGGGAGGAGGTGGAGGGAGAGGAGGGAGAGTGATTCCTCAGTGTGTCTCGTCCCCCCCCTGCGTCTGCCCCCCTCAGGACATCACTCTGGCTCGCACGCACCTGCAGAAGGAGAGAGCGCGCCTGAGGGCCTTGTCTCGGAAGCTGGAGGCGTGGAGCATGGGAGAGGAGGTGGAGGGAGAGGAGGGAGAAGAGGGAGAGGAGGGAGAGGGGTACGATCATCCTTCTCCTGGGGAAGGAAGGAGGATGGGGGCGTGGGGCGTGGGGGGGCAAGGGGAAGGGCATGGGGGTGTGGTGCGGTCTCCTGGGTTTTAAAAGGGTGGGGGTTGAGGCTACTTAGTGATGGTCCGGAGAGGGAGGGAGGAGGAGAAATCCTAGGCATGGAGTGTGGGGGAGGAGGAGGATTTGGTAGAGGAGGGAGAGGGGTACGGGCATCAGTCTCCCGGGGAGGGAGGGAGGATGGGGAGGTGGGGCGTGGGGCGGCAAGGGGAGGGGCATGGGGGCGTGGAGCGGTCTCCTGGGTTCTAGGAGTGTGGGGAACTGAGAGAACTGAGTGGTGATGCAGTGAGGGAGTGGGGAGGAGAAGCTGGAGGTGTGGAGTGTGGTGGAGGAGGGAGAGGAGGGAGAGGAGGGAGAGGAGGGAGAGGGGTACGGGCATGAGTCTTCCGGGAGGGAGAGAGGCTGGGGGCGTGGGGGGGCAAGGGGAGGGGCATAGGAGTGTGAAGTGGTCTTCTGGGTTTTAGGAAGGGACAGGAAGGATTGAGATTTAGTCACATGCCAGTACCAGTCAGTTTTGAAGTGCAGAGAATAAACGAAGGTAGGTATATTGTCTGTGTTCAACATGGCACGTCAAGTCAGTAGGTATTTAGTCCTACAATAGCTACGGGTATACAGCAATGTATCACAGTGTATCAACAGATGAAGATATGACATTAACAATTAGTGTTAGCAGCTATACAGTACAGGATGCTATGTACATAGAAGCACCATATCATTCCCCTTCCTGCCTCTGGAATATCGATGCCCTCTTGATGCCGTGACCACCTTCATCGTTCCTTCAGCAAGTGAGTGAGGCGACACAAGGGCCCTGCCCATGTGGGTACCCATGCTGACCTGACAGGCAGGCACACACCTGCTTCACCCATCCCCTTCCTGCCTCTGGAAACGAGATGCCCTCACCACCTTCCCTGTTCCCTTCAAGAGCGAGTGAGGCGACACAGGGGCCCTCCCCACATGCCCCTGCAGGGCTGACAGTCAGAAGTCAAAGGGCTTTATCCCTCCCCCTCCTGCCTCTGAAATCGTGACACCCTCACCACCTTCCCCGTTCCCTTGGAGAGGGAGTGAGGAGACACAGGGGCCCTGCCCACATGCCCCTGCAGGGCTGACAGTCCTGGCAGGCCGGAAGGTGATGGCAGAGGAGGCAGATGGGAGGAGTTGGATGCGGTGGAGTGGGGTGAGTGGCTGCAGAGGAGCGATTGGGTGCAGTGGGGTGAGATGGGCCTGGCTGTTTCCAGGTGCGATGTGGGGGAGGCGCAACTGGGGGAGGGGTGTGCCAGGGGAGGTAGGAGCTGGCTTGGGGAGAGCAGGCTGGGAGTGGGTTGTTTCTGGGGGAGGTGGGGACTGGGTGTGTGAGAAGGGGATGGGAGGGAGGGTGAGTGGGAGGAGAAGCAGGAGGAAGGAGAGGAGGTGGAAGAGGCAGGGGAGGAGGAGGAGGAGGAGTGGGAGAATGATGAATTGAAGGAAGAGTTAAACGAGGAAACGGAGCTTGCACTTGGGATGGGGGATTCTGAGGAGGGGGAGGGAGAAAACGGGGAGTGAGGAGAGTTGGTGCAGCTGTTGCTGCTGCTGCTGTTGCCTGAACGGATGGAGATAGAGAGAGCTTTGAAATTGAGCAAACTGAACTTGCGGCTGCTGCTGCTGCTTGTTCTGCTGCCGCTCGCCCTGCTGTTGCTGCTGCTGCTGGTGGTGGTGGTGGTGCTGCTGCTGGTTGTGCTGTTGCTGCTGCTGCTGGTGCTACTACAGCTGTTGCTCGTGCTGCCTCCATTGCTGTTGCTAGTATTCTGCTCCTGCACCTTCCAGGAAGCATCCAGTGGTGCAGAGGACGGCTGGGGTAACGAGTTCCAGAGGGAGTTTGCCCTGGCGTGCACCCAGGGCAATGGGCTAGGGTTTCTTCCAGCAATACACCCTGAATTCGACTCAGGGCAAGGGGAACTAGTCCCACTCAAGTTGCTGCATGGCAGCGACTCCCTGCTACGTTGCCGCTCTCTGCTGCTCATACTCCTCAGAAGCGCTCTGCTTCTGCTGAAGCTTTGCATGCTTTCCTGTGTAGGTGTAGCTGCACTCCTTATCCCATCACCCGAGTTGGCTCTTAAAGGGGATGGAGAGAAAGCAGCAGACGCAGCCCCTCCTCTGCTTCCTGCACTGCCCGAAGGAATACTTTTCGGTGACTGGGCAGCTGAAAAAGATCCTCTTCGGGCAGATACTGTAGCAGGGACTGTAGCAGGGGAGAGGGACGGCAGAGGCAGGCATATATCCATGGTGCGACGACGGTTGTGGCCGGGGCGGGAAGAAACTGTAACAGGTGCGTGCACATCACACGTTCCTGTAGCAGATGTGACTGTAGTGGGTGCTTCGGCGGATTTGCTGGCAGGAGTGTCGGTGAGAGAGAGGAGGGAGGGAGCTGGGATGGAGGCAGAAAAGGGGGAGCGAGGGAGGGAGAGGGAGAGGGGGGAGAAGAAGCAGCGAGGGGAATCCCAAAACGCTTCCTTAGCATCTGCCTCGCTATCGGTACTGTCACTGCTGCTGGTGCTGTTAGGGGAGTCTGGAAGATCGTTTGTGTCACCCTCGTTACAGTCACCACCGTTAACCACGCCACCACTGCCTAAATCATCCGATTCTAGCTCTCGGATATTGTCTATCCTGGTCTTGCCGTTTTTTTTAAGCTCTGCCCCATCTTCCGCCTCCGCCTCCCCCTGCCTTTCCGCCTGCTCCGCTTCCCCGCCCCACCAGACCACCCGCCCATCTCCCACCCGCATCTCCGTGTGCGAAAAGCACCGCCTCAGAGCTCTGCCAGCTGGCACTGCCACGTGGCACGCTCCCACAGGCCGGTCGAGTGCAGTGCTGCCGCCCACACTTCCTGCTGCTGTGCCTCCTCCTCCGCTTGCCCCGTGTGCTGCCAGCTGCGCTCGTGCGCGACTGGGGCTCCGCATGTGGTCGCGGTGGAGGGCGGAGGCGGAAGGATAGGCGGAAGGATTGGCGCTCAACCAGTCAGCAGGGGAAACCGCGGTGGTGGCGGAGAAGTTTCTGCGACGGTGAGCCGCGCGCGACGGCTGCTGCGACGGCTGCTGCGACGGTTGTAGCTGCGACGGTTGTAGCTGCGACGGTTGTAGCTGCGATTGGTGTAGCTGCGATTGGTGTAGCTGCGACCGCTGAAGCTGGAGCCTGTTTTGGCGAAGAGTGTCTTGTAGCGAGGCCCAATCAACGCTCGTTACAACCGACCAACCAGCAACGGGCGCATCACTCACAAGCGAGTCAGTCAAAATCGGAGCATCACCAAAGATTTCCGTGCGAGTGCGCACGTGACGAGGCGCGATGGGTCGATCGCGCAACGGGGTGGTCGTCCGAAGAAATTGGCGACGGTGTGCGACGGGGGAGCTTATCGCAGGCGGTCGCTGGGCAGATCGTACGTGAGAGGGAGCGGGCGATAGTTCGCCTGAGCGCGAAATGGTGGGAGTGCGTGATTGTCGAAGTTGATGGTTACCATTACAGGGCACTTCTTGCCATGGCGAAGGCATCTGCGAGTCCGCGAACACGAGCGACAGTGATCGCCTGTGACAAGCTATCGCACATTCGTTTGACAAAAAGCGCTTGCTTTCGTTTCCAGTCGAAACCACACCGGACAGGTTACCACTGTAACTGGAACCAGCATCCGACCTGTTACAAAAAAAATCGTCGCCACTCGAGAAAGTTCGCCAACTTCCCCCACTGAAGCTGGTGCCGTCTCCGCCGCTTCTGATACTCGCACCGCTGGTACAGTAATCTTCGCGATTGCGTATATCCTCAATAACATAGCTACTATTTGTGTAGCTGCTACTGCTGCGCTTGCTGCAACGTCTCGAATCGCTCATCGCCCCAGAAGCAGCCGTATCCGAGCAGTGACCGTCGCGGTTCGAGAGATAGTACGTCCCGCCCAATCGCAAGACCGTGTCACGCGGGAGAATCGCGCCTCGAGGCTTCGTCTCATTATCTTTGGGTTTCGAGTCGCAGTCGTCGAACGACCCCCCATCGCACGTGTCGCCAGCGACGATCGCAGAGCAGCTGACGACGACGTCGGGGAAGTCGCAGGCGAGTTGTGCGACTGTCAGCTCCTCCGTGTACAGGCGCGCCGAGCCATCGGGGAGGACGAGGAGCGTGGCGGAGGGGGAAGCGGAAGCCGCGTGGCGGAAAGGGAGCGACCAGGTCGCGGCGCACGGGGAGGGGGAGCGGCGGCGGGAGGCGGAATCGGCGGAGGCGGAGGTGGAGACGGAGGCTAGTGGTGTATGCTCCGCGGTGGGGGAGTCGATTGTAGCAGCCATACTTCGCGCGTTGAATTGGAAAAGTTTGGGGACTAATGTTTCTGGATCACTTTTCTCGTTTGCTTCTTATTGTGAAAAAAAGCTGCGCGTTTCTGGACCTGGTACTGTGCAACACCAGGGAAGTGTGACGAGGTCGACGGGGACTGTGGTGGATCTAAAAGAAACGCCAACCGGAATCTGTGCTTTAGGCATGTACGCTCGTGCCGCGTCCTTTCCGAAATAAAGAAACGGACTGTTGCGGGAGGAGGTAAGCGTTACGAAGACGAGGTGGTGATTGTGGTGCTCCTACCTGCACGAATATAAGTAACTTGCATAATTACGAAGCACGGTGCGGCAGCAAAGCAATGCTGCTCTGTGCTGCCTTCCTCTCCCACAGACTACAGTTTCCCCTCCATTCTTCCCAATTCGGTGATTGGCAAGTGCCAACACTTTTCCTGCTTAGCGAAAAGATTGGCATGTGTGGCGAGGTGAGGCGAAGCAGGGTGATGCGATGCGATCGAGGCGAGACGGGTAAGGCGAGGGGAGGCGACACGATGCGAGGTTAAGCGAAACCACTTCTCGCCGCCCCAGAGATGCTGTAACTGATGCCACCCTCTCTCAGCCAATTGGAGAAGAATCACATGGGGGCGTCAGGGGTCTATGATTTGCGAATAAAGCTGTGCGACGATATGCAAGCGAGTGCATGAATTCCCTTTGCGGCGACTGGTCGATGTTATTTCCGACCATAAATTCACCCGCACCAAACTGGGAACTTCATATACGTGTGCTCAACCCTTATGTTTTCCCCCATTTGCTCTCCTGTGTAGGTGTTTGTGATGCCCATGAAATTGTTTTCGGGTCGCAAAAGCTACATTCAGAATCGTCGGCTGCGACAAGTAACGTCGGCGAAACGGCCATCGTGGCATGGTACGGCCCAGGTTGCAGGTAGGTGGAACCCTCATCCAACAAGCCCACTAAAACGGTTACAGAGTTATACAGATCCGCGAATTCGCTTGTAGGAAACCTCGCCAGCTCGCAGAATCTTGATAGCTGGTTACACTTCCCACAACACCCCCCTCTCCCCGACACCCAAGTCCATTCTAGTTGAAACCAACTCCACCCCTCTCCCCATCACTTGCGTCCAAAACCTTCGACATGCACACGTCCATTTCCATGGTACTATCTCCCCTCCCTAGTCCCACTACTACGCTATATTCCAATTGTTCTGCATCGCCGTGTAGCTCGTTCGTTCGCATTCCTTCCGATGGCCGATTCGACGGAAGGCGCTAACAGCGGTGCGAGAAAGCTGCCAACGTCAATCGCGGCAAGCAAAGAGCTACTCACCGTCAGCGGTGATTCGTTGCCTTTCTGTACGTCATGTTTTCACTGGGCCGTCACTTCACATATTTTTCATTTTTTATAAGTTTACCTCTAAACGTAGTATCACGACCATGCTCAACCCCTCCGTTCGCCAATTTCTCTCCTGACCTGACCACCATTTCTCCGCCTCCTCGATTTCAAATATCACTTCGCATTTTCCTGTAGTCGACTCAACGTAAGCACGCCTCCCGCTCTCCTCTCTTCTCCTCACTCCAGTGGAGCGTCTTTTGGCGCAGCCAGGCAAAACCAATCCGCGCGCACACAAACAGCAGCAGCAGCAGCAGCAGCAGCAGCAGCAGCAGCAGCAGCAGAAGCCACCATGGCAGGGGCAAGCGCCGCCAGCTATGTTCACATCGCCGGTTGGGGAGAGTTCGGGTGCGTTACCGTAAAACTCGCGAATTCGCGACATGTAGATCTCCCCAGGGTCAGGGTTCAGGGCTCGGGGGTATTTGAAAGTTAAACCTCGAACCATCAAACCCTAATTCCTACTTCTCTTGGCGACTCAGTCTTTCCTGTGTCGTGCCACCTTCTCGCACCTGACTGAATAAGCTCCAACCTTGAAACTCCCCGTCCCTTGCGTATCTTCCTGTGTCTTTCTTTGAGTTTCCCCTACCTATCTCCCTGCTTATCTCCCTGTGTCTTTCCCATCTCGTGTGCTGGCAGTGCTGGCTCGCCTGCGGGGCTTCTTACCCCAGATGGAGCAGGAGAACCAGAAGCTGCAGCGAGCCATAGAGGTATGGAGCGGTGCATAGAGGTGGAAAGGGGCGAATGGAGTTAAGGATGGGCGAATAGAGGCGTGGATGGGCGGAAAGTGGTGACGAACAAGCAGGCAATTGCACGAACGCGGCTCTTTACTCTAACTTGGGCAAAAGAATCAGAAGTTGCAACGAGCCTTAGAGATGCATAGGGGCGAATACATGTGGCAATGGGCGAATAATGGTACAGGGGAAGATTAGGATTTGGGACTTGCTGCCGGTGGGTCCTTGCCCCTCAAACATGTCTGACTGGGCCTCTTTTGATCACCAGCAGGAGCAGGGGTGGGAAGCGGTGGTGAGCCTATTTTGACACGCCCCTTGCATAATGTTTGGTTCTCTGTTCTGCCCTCTGCATCTCCGCACCGTGATCACACCACAGGAGCAGGGCCAGCAGGCGGTGAGCATGGAGGCAGTTGACGACTCACAGCAACACATAGAGATGGTGAGTCAGCATTAAGAGCTGGTGAGTCAGCATTTAGAGATAGTGAGATAGCATGTAGAGATGGTGAGTCGGCGTTTAGATTAGAGATGGTGAGTCAGCGTAAAGAGATGGTGAATTAGCATGTAGAGATGATGAGTCAGTGGCCGTTTCTCCCACCTCACTTTGCTGTCCATCTCCCCCCTGCTCTCATCAGTCTCCCGTTCCCTCACCACTCTGCTGTCACCACTCTCCCTGCTCTCGCCACCTTCTCGGCTCTCACCACTCTCTCTGCTCTCATAACCCTTCCCCCCCCTCCCCACACCTGCAGGATCTATCACTGGGTCTGGTTGACTTGCGCACGGCTGATGCCGTAGCAGCAGCAGAGAGGGCTTTGTCTGGGGCCGGACAGGGGAGCTCTGTGGGCAGAGGGGAGGGGGAGGAGGGGGAGGTTGGTAGCAGCGATTCTGACTCAGAATTGGAATCAGAGAGCGAAGATTCTGATGGTGGTGATGGTGGGGATGAGGGTGGTATACGAAGGGCTGATGCACAGGGGGGTGATGGCCTAGGCGGTGGAGACAGGTGTGTAGCCATGGAGGAGGATGGGGAGGCTGGAAGTGGAGGTGGAAGAGGGGGTGGGGGAGTGCTTCTAGGCTGCTCACTTGACGGTGCTGTGGCTGGTGGGGATTGTGGGGTGTTTCATGTTGGGGTGGGAGGAGAGAAGGGAGGTCGGGGGGCGAATGTACAACCAGGCCAGCACAAAGGGGGATATGGTGGCAAAAGAAAGAAGGGATTGGGGAAAGTCAAGAAGGGGGGGCAGGGAAGAGGGAGTTCAAGAAGCAACAAGGGAAAGCCAAAGATAGTGGAATTGTAGATATGGTTGTACTGTAATGGAATAATAGTGGGAATCCCACAGTCATCAGTGACATAGTTTCTGCTTTTGAGGAAGCTGGAATTCAGGTTATTTTTGAGCTCAGAAAGTGAAGGAGGCATCTGGCTCAAATTGTTTGTTGCGCAAAATATGTATGCTTCCGCTTTGAGTGGTGTCTTTCGGTTGAATCGCAGCTCTTTGTAGTGCGAATATCGAGTGCTCCCAAACCTTGGGAACAACACTACTTCACGAGAAATTCCCGCCACAAGTAGCAGCCCGCCACCAATTGGGCAGTGGGAGAGTGCGCTAAAGGATGATCAGAAGGCGTTCAAGCGGGTATCAGCGTAATCACGCAGAACCTAATTTAATCGTACCGCAACGTAGAGAACCCAGTCTCGAACAACGGTTGATTGTCCCTCGTGAAACTGGGAATGCACCTCACCTTGAATTCCAGTGGTCGTTATGTAGTCTTTATGATCGAAGTCCGACTCGAGACTCACGCTTTTGTTCTTTCAACGAGCAGCCAAACGTTCGCGATTCTGATGTGAGCTCGTAAGCGAATAAGCCTCTGTGTTGTAGTCGAGTAACTCGTGCGTTTGATGCAACTGTAGTCGCGTGATTTACGCGCCAGTCGCCATGACGCTTCCTATCACAAGCAGGCCCGATATTGAGCTCCCCTGCGCCACTAGCTCGTCCGATGGAGCATCTTTTTGTAACGCGTATCCCTCTGAAACTCGTTCTAACGGAGCTGCCGTTGACATGACGACCGGCAACTTGGCGGACGGAACGTTAACTGACGGTGGGGCACAAGCGGACGAAGCGTTCGTGTTTACGGACGACATGTACGAAGGAGGCGTGGGGGCGCCAGGGTTACCTGGTTACAACGAAATGGGCAAAGCTCCGTTAGGAGAAGGGGAGCTGACGTATAGAGGGATGAATATCCTCGCTCCAATGGTTAGAGTGGTAAGCGACATTATTTCAATCAGTCCTTTTTTTATATATATACAAGGCAATGGTGTTTCTCTCAATTCTCCCATGGCCTTCCCATTCCAAAGCGTCTTTACCCTGAGGCGAGTTTTGATTGTTTCCGAGGCCCCGAACTTCTAGTCTTCAACTTTGGGTCTCTAATCGATTCCAATCATTTACCCCTCCCAACCCTTCCTACCCACCGTGCCGCCCAGAACACCCTCGCATTCCGGCTGCTGGCTCTGGACTGTGGCGCGGATATGGTGTACAGCGAGGAGGTGATCGACCACCGCTTTGTACAGTGCAAGAGAGTGGTCAACTGTGAGTTATATAAACTGTGTTCTATCTATGCAATTAAGGGTTGTAAGCGTTTATGTAATAAGGTTGGTGTACAGTGAGGAGGTGATAGACCACACTGTGCATAATTATCAGGCCTGTTCCTTATAGCAACCAATATCGGGTTTACCTCTGGCTTGGCAAGCAGAGAAAACAAGCACCACCCTCATTTCTGCTCCCCACATGCACCCCCATCCGCCAGCTGCGTTATAATCCGTTGACTTTGTTAAACTCAGCACGGGATCGTGGTGTTCGCTCTCTTCCCCTCCCGCCACAGGCATCTATACGTTCTCCCGCTTCCCCTCCCCTCCCCCCACCTCCCACTCCCATCCTCCAGCTGCGTTGGATTCCGTTGACTTCGTGGAGCCCAGCACGGGCATCGTGGTGTTCCCTCTCTTCCCCTCCCCCCCACCCTCTCTCCCCCCTCCCCACCCACTCCTCCGTTTCCCATGCCCCAGCTGTGTTGAATTCCGTTGACTTCGTGGAGCCCAGCATGGGCATCGTGGTGTTCTGTCTCTTCCCCTCCTTCACCTTATCCCCCCCGCGACCCCCGCCCCACCCTCCCGTCCTCCAGCTGCTGTGAATTCCGTTGACTTCGTGGAGCCCAGCACCGGCATCGTGGTGTTCCGCACGTGTGAGGCGGAGAGGACGCGAGTGGCTTTCCAGATCGGCACGGCCGATGCTGTCCGGGCTTTAAGGGCTGCCGAAATGGTGTCAGTTCCCCCTCTCTAGCACTCTTTCCATCATCTCTACCTCCTCATCGTGCCTTCCTCTTTCTCTTCTCTTCCTTCTCGCCTTCTGTCTATGCCCTGTGCCCTTGTTCAGCCAGTCGACACTCGTCTCACCTCATGTGCCAACTTATCCAGCAACTCGTGTGTCGTCTCATGTGTCATGTCAAGTGTCACCTGAAGCGTCATCTCATGTGTCTCATCTCGCCCTGCCCTCCATGTGACATCTCATGGACATCTCATGAACATCCACCCTATGCCTCATCTCATCCCACCCCCCAGCTGCAATGACGTGGCAGCTATAGACATCAACATGGGATGCCCTAAGCCCTTCTCAGTCCCTCGACTCCCATCGCCCCACTACCGCCCCCCACCCATCTGATGTCTAAACTCACCCACCAGCTGCAACGACGTGGCAGCGATAGACATCAACATGGGGTGCCCCAAGCCCTTCTCCACCAGTGGAGGCATGGGCTCTGCTCTGCTCTCCCGTCCAGAGAACGCATGTGACGTGAGTGCAGCGTGTGACCCCCTATGTGTGACTGACTGCATATGTGACTGACAGGGGCATGGGCGCTGCTCTAATCTCCCGCTCAGAAACCGCATATGACGTAAGCCCAGGGTGTCAAATGTAGGGTTTAAAAGAGTTCCTGCTTCAGGGTTTTAGGGGGTGGTAGTATGTGGCTGCATGCCGCATGGCTGCTCTCAGGGCCAGATCGCATATGACATGAATCAAGATTATGGAACCTTTTGTTGCTAGTCCTTTTATAGAGAAAAAAAAAAAAAAAAAAAAAAAAAAAACATGCCAGCTGCCTTTTTTGGTGTCACTTGCGAGATTCGTTTTGTGTTTTGTCTCCCTGTTAGGATTCCGTTTGTTACCCACGCATCATCCGCTCGCCGTTGCATCCCTCCCTGATTGTGAGCTCGTCATCCCTTCTTCAAAGCCCTTGCACCATCCACACACACATCACCACATCGCCTACCAAACTTGCCATCCTTTCCTTTCCTCACCATCAACCGCCCTTTCAACCTTTCCAAACCCCTGCAAACCCCTCCAAACCCCTTCAAACCCCGCCCGTCAGATCCTCTCCACGCTGCGTCGCAACCTGCCTGCCTCCATCGCAGTCACCTGCAAGATCCGTCTACTCGACTCGCCCCACCGCACACTCGACTTCGCCAGGGCTGTTGAAAGCACAGGCATCTCGGCTCTGGGCATTCATGCGCGGTAAGGGGGGTGATGCCTGCGGGTTAAGGGGGGATAGATGCAAGGTAGCGTATGGAAATCGCAGTCACCTGCAAGATCCGCGTGGTGGACTCGCCCCACCGCACGCTTGACTTTGCCCGGGCTGTTGAGAGCGCATGCATCTCGGCTCTGGGCATTCATGCGAGGCGAGGGGGGATGCATGCAAGGTGTTTGACACTCATTCACGGAAGTAAGGTTGAGTGGCAGTATGGTATCGTCACTCCCTCTCCTCGCCCTCTAAGAGTTGGCTCTTGAAAAGGTGACTCCTGAGACTGCTCATTCTTCCCCCTTCCCTCCTTTCGGCCCTCTTCTTCTCCACTGCTGCCTTCCAGGAAGGTTCCTCACCGCCCGTCAATGAAGGCGCAGTGGGAGGCTCTTCCTGCAGTGGTGTCGTCGCTCTCCCTCCCCGTCATTGCTAATGGGGATGTCTTCTGCTACAGTGATTTTGACTCCATTCGATCAGCAACAGGTAAGGATGGCGGCTGTAGTAACATGAAAACGGCAGTTGTAGGCTGTAGCACTCCCTGCAGTGGTGTCGTCGCTCTCTCTCCCTGTCATTGCCAATGGGGATGTCTTCTCCTACAGTGACTTCGACTCAATTCGAGCAGCAACAGGTGAGAATGAATGATAGGCACCGTGAAAACGGAAGTGGGTGTCTTTCCTTGCAATGGTGTCGTCGCTCCCTGTGATTGCCAATGGCGACGTCTTTTCCTACAGAGATTTCGAACCAATCCGAGCAGAAACAGGTGAAGAGGACAGCTGTAGCAACATGAACAGGGCAGTGGCTGTGGCAACAGGTGAAACGAGCACCTAGCTGTAGCAACAGATGGGAAGGGCGGCTGTAGCATCAGGTGCAGATGGCAGATACAGCACACCATTCCAGCAGCAGAAGCGTTTTTCGCTCCTGCTCAACTCACTCTCCAACATTCCCCTCTGCCTGCACTTTTCTACCTGTCCATCCATCCATCAGGAGCGTCCTCAGCCATGGCAGCGCGAGCGGCTCTGTGGAACCCAACCGTGTTTCGACCAGAGGGGCAGCAGAACTGGGAGGTGGTGAAGAGGCTGTTTCTGAGGCAGGTGGGACTGGGAGGTGGTGAAGAGGCTGTTTCTGAGGCAGGTGGGACTGGGAGGTGGTGAAGAGGTTGTTTCTGAGGCAGGTGGGATTGGGAGGTGGTGAAGAGGCTGTTTCTGAGGCAGGTGGGACTGGGAGGTGGTGAAGAGGCTGTTTCTGAGGCAGGTGGGATTGGGGGCTAGCGGAAGGTGGGAGCAGGGTCAAGCTGAGAGTTTGACCACATTGTCTTCTCTCCTGTCACATCGTCTTCTCTCCTGCCACATTGTCTTCTCTCCTGCCAAATGAGCCTGCTCCAATCCAAACTCTCTCTTTCCCTCCTCTGCTGCTTTAAACTTAGAGAATGTCTAAGGCCAAACTCTCTTCTGCCCCCCCACTACCTGCTGCTCCAACCCCACCTTCCAACCAGCAGTGTGCGCGGTGGGACGATGATTACCAGTCATGTGCCTGAAACCCCCACCCCCCCTCCTTTCCCCGCCCTCTTGTTACCTCACCTGGGCCTTCAGTGTGCGCGGTGGGACAATGATTACAAGTGGTCAAAGCACGTGGTACGGGAGGTTGTCATCCGTCACGCCAACTAACAGATTGGGCAGGAGGGCAGATGTTTCAAATTGGTGTCAAACTCTTCGTTGTTTTCCCCCCTGTTGCTCCAAACCCTCCCTTCGAACCACCAGTGTGTGCCGTGGGACAATGACTACAAGTGGTCGAAGCATGTGATACGGGAGAGGATCATCCATCACACCAACTATTGGGAAGTGCAAATCTAGGAGCCGATGCCAAACTCTCCTTTGCCTCCCCTTCCTGCTGCTCCAAACCCACCCTTCAGTGTGCGCAGTGGGACAATGATTACAAGTGGTCCAAGCATGTGATAAGGGAGATGATCATCCATCATGCCAACTACGAGGTTGGAGAGGGCAGAGGCGTTAACCGATGCCAGACCCTTCCACAGCTCTGGTAGGTTCACGAACTTCACGTCATCCCCTTTTTTGGTACTGCCTTTATCTTTTCCGCTCCTCTTCTGTCTGTGAGGTGCCTCTGGGTTCAACTGAGCTTGTATTCCTCTCCTATCTGTCATCTGCTCTGCGCGATCTGCTTCATTTATGCACGGCTTGCAGTGACTACTACGGCCTGTCAGAGTTCTACGAGGAGTCCCTAAGAGCAAGAGCTTTGAGGGCACAGCAGAGCACAGCACACTGAATTTGTGGAATAATAATTAGATGAATCGTTGTGCTGGAATGGAATTCTAAAACAGTGAATAAGTGTAGTTGCTTAGCTTACTTACTGGACCAGCACAGCAGAGCAGGGAATCAGCCGAGCCAAGTTTGTGAATCATGGAGTGCCAGGAGGAGGTGCTGGAGGAGGAGCAAGTGAAATTGTATCATGTTGAAAGCTTGGATTGGATTGGATTGGATGATGATTGAAAGTTGGAACATAGAGATTCCATGGCAGGGGAGCGCATGAACCAGGTGGTGCGGAGGAGAGGAGTGGGTTTTGGCAGTGTGCTGGAGTTTCCAGCTTCTTGATTTGTGGCTCTGCTTTTCAATTGTTGTAACTAGATGATCTTGGAAGCTACATTACTTGAACCTAATACAGGTGGCATATGTGACTACCATTAGGCCAGCAAGATAGATACAAGTGGATCAGCACATTAGCCATACCCGCCCAGTGGATCCTCCTCCACCTCCCCATCCCCTCCATACGCAGCAAACGGGTCTTCATACCCTATCGTCCCTCCCATCTCCTCCTCCCCCTCCCCATATTCCGCCTCACCATAGTCACCTTCTACTTGAGTCGCAGCAACACTCTCTTGTGTCACAACCCCATACTCTCCTGTTCCATCCGCCCCTGCGCCATAATCACCTTCCCCATATGCACCTTCACCACACATTCCCTCCTCCCCACCATCCACACCATCTCCCTCCCCATGCGCCTCCCCTAGCCCGTCTCCTGCTTCCTCTGCCCTTCCCTCCTCCTCCCCCTCTCCTGCAGGCTCTGCTGCCACCGCTCTCCACTCCTCCATCTCCACTTCCTCCATCATCCCCTCATCCTCCTCATAAGCCTCCTCGTTACCAGCACCGTCTCCCTCCTCTCCAGCCCCCCCATCCATCCACGCACTACCCCCCTCTCCTCCAGCCGTCCGTTGTCGCTTCCCCTGGAGATTACTTCTCTCAACAGCAAGAGCACCACCACCAGCAGAAGCAGAGGCGGCTATGTTGTGGAGTGCGTTGGCAGCAGCAGCGGTGGCAGCAGCAACAGCCGCCCCAGGTCGTCCCATCACTGCTGCTCCCTGCTGCCGCTGGCTTACCCTCTGCCTGCTCGCCTCCGCCCTCCCTCTCACAGCAACAGCACCAGAAGGCACAGCATCAGCAGCAGCGGCAATAGAGGCACGAGCAGGAGGAGAAGCAGAGGAGCCGGCCAGTGTTTCTCTCACTTGCAGTTCTAGCTGTGGGTTGAGAGCCGAGGCCAAGCGCTCATACTGCTGCTTGTCTGGAGGGGAGTGAGTGGAAGATGAGATGGGGGAGAGAAAGAAGGGATGGGTGGTAGAGAATCGTGATATGAAGGAAGCTTGACTCAATAGCTGTGCATCTATGTGTGAGAGGAAGGGCGGAGAACCATCCTGTGACTCAGTCGCTGCATGCGAGTGAATAATGAGTAACCACCTGTAAAGCACCTGTGCAGCGGTGTGTGAGTGCATGCGTAACGAGGTGCGGGTGCAGCGTCTCCTCCCGCTTGAACTTGGCGTGACATCTACTTGACTTGTGTCACAGTGTACAGTGTCACCCACCCCTGTGACTCACCTGTGCATCGGTGTGTGAGCACATGTGTGACGAGGGGAGGGTGCAGCGTCTCCTCCGGCTTGAACTTGGCCTTCATCCTTCAAGGTGCATCACTCGAAGATCTACAACACTACAGCCCTGTGACCCACCTGTGCATCTGTGTGTGAGTGCATGAGTAACCAGGTGTGGGTGCAGCGTCTCTTCCCGCTTGAACTTGGCCTTCATCTGCCGCCGAGAGCGCTTGGGAAAGAGCGCCTGCAGCATCTCAAAGTCCGTTCCAAACTGCTGCAGCGCCTGGTGGCATGCACAAGAGGCAAGGCGGCAGAGGAGCAGGGGAAGGTTGGGGCGGGGGGGGGGGGGGGGGGGGGGGGGGGGGGGAGGGTGAGGGACTAAGGAAAGAGCGCTTAGAGTCCGAGCTGCAGCAGCGCTTGTAGACGGGACAGGGGCATCAGAGAGCGAGAAGGGGGGAAGGTGGGGGCCGGGCGAAGCTTATGGAAGAGTGCTGAGGTGCTAACAGCCACTGCAAACAGCAGCCCTCAGAATTGTAACTCTCGACCGAGCCGCCTCGTCTGCCGCTCTTGATTTTTCTTCGTACGACTCCCGCAGTTGAGTCTTGCGTGCTTGCGATGCCCCTCTGTGGTGCCACAAACAGCCACCCACCTGGTACCACTGGGTCGTCTCGTCCACACTCCACCGGTCGCTCTTCTCCTCCTTCATATGCGTGCCGTAGTTGAGTCTTGCGGGCTTGCAATGACCCTCTGTGGTGCCTCAAACAGCCACCCACCTGGTACCACTGGGTCGTCTCGTCCACACTCCACCGGTCGCTCTTCTCCCGCTTCATATGAGTCCCATAGTTGAGCCGCGCTGAGCTCTCCTCCACCCGCTTATACCCCTCCATCGCATCGTCCCTCCCCCCCTGCGCATCCACTGTGAGGCTCGCCTCGTTCACCACGATGCGCCCGTCGATCACTGTCACCTGGGGAGCGAACACCCCCCCGCCACCGCCGCTACCGCCGGGTGGGGGGTTGCTGGCAGGTGCAGAGGCAGCAGGGCTGGTGGGTCGATTTTGGAAGGGAGGAAATGCAGGGGGGAACTGTGGTCAATCATTGCCAACATAGTTTTAGTCGACTCTAAAAATCGCCTCGTTCACCACGATGCGCCCGTCTATCATTGTCACCTGCGCGGCGAATACCCCGCCGCCACTGCCACTGTTGCCAGGTAAGTGGGTAGGAGGATGGGGCAGGTGCAGAGGCAGCAGGGCTGGTGGGTGGGTGTAGGAGGATGGGGGGACATGCAGGAGGAAACTGTTTAATTTCAATTCAACGCCGCATAAAAAGTATTTTTGAGCATCTCCTCTCCTCTCTCACACTCCTCTCCACCACCCTGCTTGTCTCTCCCCTTCCACCTGTCCAAACCTCTCACTTATTCTCCCCTCAACCACCCACCCCTAATCAACACCATCCCCAACCCACCCCTTCACATCACCACACCACATAAACCCTCCCAACCTTTCTCCACATCACCCCTCAATACCATTCCTCCCCGCATCACCCTCCCCCACGCACCCCTCAGTGCCATCATCCACATCCTCGCCTCGCCGCCTGGCCAGCTTCCTTCTGTTTCGCTCCACCTCCTCCTCTATCCGCTTCTTCTCCTGCTCCTCCTTCTCTTTCTGCAACACACAGTGAGGGCGACGGGGAAGGCAGGGGTGGCGAGGGAAGATGGGAGGGTACGGATGGAGGAAGGGGGGGGTATGGGGGGGAGTGAATGAGTGAGGGATAACAGTTCAAAGAAAAGAACATCATTAAAAACAGTCGCTACCTGAACCAAGGACCTCACTCCTCACCTCTCGGTCGAGCACTTCGGAGCGCTGAATGATCTGCTGGATGGTGAAGCCCGACAGGTCCTCCGCTGCTAGCAGCTCCGGAGTCACCTGCGAGCCTGGTGTGCCGGAAAGGTGAGGGGGAGTGGGGGGGGAGCGGGGAGGAGTGTTGGGGGTTTGAGGAAGAGGGAAGGGAGCAGGAATGGGAATATGCCCTCTGCTGTTAGCAGCTCGGGCGTGGCCTGTGAGTTTGAATGGGAAACGAGACGGTGTAGAAGTCGCAACATGCCTTGTTGCAAATGCCATGATTTCAGACGGTTGAGTTCATATTTAGGGTTATGTAAAATCTTGGGGTCTAGTGATTCAGGTTGAGGGTTCAGGATTTAGACAGGGATGCTTACGCCTTTTTCCTTTCCGGAACGAGTGTGGGAAGAACACTCCCTTGGTTCCTGATCCAATCACGCCTCGGCTCTTATCCCCCCCAGACGCCTCTTTCTCCTTCGCCCTCCCTCTCCCATTCCCCCGTACCGCTGCATCTGCTGCTCCTGGGGCTGTGCTAGGCGCAGCACCAGCAGCATGAGCTGTAGGAGCGGCATTTCTATGAGGACCGTTTACTAGGGGACTAGGCGCAGGAGCACGTGGAGCGGGACGAGCGGACGCGGGGGGAGCGGGGAGGGTAGGAGCATGGGAGGAGGGAGCGGTGGGAGCTGCAGCAGTGGCAGTTCTGGAAGGGGCGCCAAAACCCCCTTGAACGGAACCTAACCCTTCTGTTTGAGGTGTCGCCCTGGCTATTACTGCTGCCGAAGGGGACGGTGCAGGTGAGGCCGAAACAAGAGCTTCTGGCGCTGCAAACCGGGAGGGTAGTTGTGGAGCGTGAGTCGGAGCGTCGGGAAGGGGACGTTGCGCTGGTGCTGATGCTCGTCCGGATGGGACGGTAGCAGCTGCAGCGGCTGTAGCGCGGACGGGCGGCGCTACTGCCTGCGCAACTCCCCCTACATTCCCCGCTGCAGCAGTACGCCCTCCTGATGGACCGGCTGATGGGCCAGATTGTCCTGCGGGCGCCGATGCTTCAGCACCAGCCCCTCCGCCAGCTCCTCCCTTCCTAGCGCGAGGCTTGAGCTTCGGCTGAAAGGCAGCCGTTCGTGGACCTGCAATAATAAGCGAAGAGGAAGAAGCTAAGGAGGACGTAGTGCACGGGGCACTGCTAAGCAAGAAGAACACGTATCCGACGCATAAGCCAGAAAAGAGTCAATGTAGAAAAGGGTACAAGTACGATTCTCGAAAGCGCATACAGGCTAAAGCTACCGAAGTTCAAAACATGACGTCCTACCAGACGCTGATTCGAGCGCTGCATCTAGCGAAGAAAGCATTGTGCGGGAAAACAGGAGAGCGCAGTGAAGAAAAAGGTGTCACTGCTGCAGCTTCATCTGCGTTGGAGACAAGCAGGGTGTGGTGAACTTCTATCGCTTGCGATGCGAGGCTTGGCTGTTTGACAAAACTCACGTCACGGAAGTGCAAGTGATGTGTGGTTATGGTGAGGTTGCTTGGGAGGTGAGTCACACAAAAGTCCTTACGGTATCAGTGTACCTCTTTTTCCTCTAAAGCTGCAAAATATTTATCTGTTGTGTGGTTATGGTGAGGTTGCTTGGGAGGTGAGTCACACAAAAGTCCTTACGGTATCAGTGTACCTCTTTTTCCTCTAAAACTGCAAAATATTTATCTGTTCCATAAAGGATACAACCAGCAGAACCTTTTCATTACCAACAGCTAAGACTCTAGTAATGAACTACATAGTAAAATACACACAACCAATCTCTAGCACATACGTATGATGCACTCCAAGCGTCTTATTTCCATCTACGTTCACTCAAAGAGCTCTCGTAACGCCCAACATTGTTACTGTCCACCTCCAACAAGTATCTTACCATGTGTTTGTCCAAAGTCATTCCGCACAGAAACTGACAATGCACTTTCCCCGTGCAAGCAGCATCCTCCAGCTCACTCACAAGCCTGAACTCTCTGCCTTTGTTGAAGCCTTCTGTCTGCCAGTTCTCAATTACCCTCATTTCCGGTTCAGTACCACTCAGTAGATGAAAGAGGTCTGTACCAGCAAGATCGACATAGTACTGAATGTCCAGCTTCAATTTGCACTCATCCATAGATTCGTGCAGCTTGTTGAGAATGTCGATGTCATTGCTGGCTTCATTCTTGCTGTTCTCATATGCCAGTGCAACTGCATTCAAGTTTCCGTATCTGCACAGGGAAAGTGTAAGGCCAGGCAAACATGATTTGTTAGCAAACATGGTAGAGAAAACAAACCAACTTACCCAAAAATGTTGTTTGGCTCCAGCACGTTCCCCTCTCCCCATTCATTCCATGCAGTGAGGAAGAAGAGGTTGGGGGTTGTTCCATTGTTCGCATCATTTCGAGCGATTCTGAATCTCTCCTCCAGCCTTGCCTCCACATGAACAGGATCATCATCAAGGTCCCCAACGACAAAATGTGGGTCGAGGTTGTGCCTTGGGAAGTTGTCCCAGCCAAGATACTCTCCCCGGTGATGAGCTTTGTGCAGCCTTTTTGTTGGAGATTTAGTCTTCATCCGCCCCTTTTTTAGATTGGGCTGGTACTCCATGATAGCATTGGCATTTCGAGAAACACCTGTGTCTTTATGGCCCAGGCACTGGATAATATGGAGGCCAGGCAAACCTTCCTCTTTAGCGAGTGATCGCCAAAGCTTCAGCATTGGCTTCAGCTCCTTGATAAGGGGGACGATGTAGATTCCAAAGGCCGGCTTATTATTGACTCTTATATAGTTAGGGTGCTTGAAAAGGGGTAGCAGCCACTGAAAATGCAACCGCCAGCATGTCTCATTCCCGTAGCTCTGCAACAAAGGATCATGAACTGAGTACATTTGCCTCACGCCGTGCAGCTCGTTGTGGTAGAAAAGCTTTTACCTGTGACTGAAGTATCTCGCCTGTCTCTCCAGTCCAATGCCGTGTCCAGGCTTCGTTTGCCCAAATGAGCATAAAAGGGAGGTCTGGCTCTCCATCTTTCAGCATTTCCATAATGACCGACTCCATAAATACAGTGTTGCACTCAAACCAGTAGTGATGAAATGCGAAGCCCTGCAAACGTAATCAGTTTCTGCAGGTGGGTCAAGAGAAAAGAAAACAGAAAAAAATAACACTCTGTGCTATGCTCACGTGGATGCCATAAAACCTTGCCAACTTTCCCATTCTCGACCGTTGGGAATGGCTGAGCATGTTATAATAACCTCCGTAAGCTTCAATAGGATGTTTGATGGGTTGAAAGTTCCACGGGTTAAAAAATGCCAGCTTCAAGTTGGTCCATTCGGTGAAGTTTGTTCCCCAAAACATATCATTTTCTTTGAATGCATGGTACTACACGGGAAAACGGCTTTGTCATGATGTTAGATCACATTAGCATTAAGAAGCAAATGGTCACACACCTGAGGGAAGACAACCGCAATCATAAGCAAATTTTCGTCTGTGACCACTGGACCGATTTTCTGCTGATCGGTGAAGGGGATAGACTGTACCACTGGTAGGCGCCTGAGAGCCTCATAGTCTTGTCCTCTGACAAGAAGCCGGCACTGAAAGGATGAGCCACGCGTTAGTAACAATGCATATCATTTCATAAACATTGGTCAAGTTAGCTTCTTGCCTGATAGTTTTTCAGCCGAGGCGTTACACCTTCCATCCTTTTATATCTGAAGCTGATTGCATGGTCGAAAAAAGAGCCAGGAATGCCAGGAGACCTCCACCGCGTCAAAATGTCGTAGTTGGAGTGATTATTCCATATAACCGCGCTAGTGTCTCGTATAAGCTTGCAATCCTTCTTGGCCTTGGTGTCGAGCCTTCCGTATTGTTTCATCATTTGATTAGCAACAAAAGCGACCTCGGGTGCCTGTTGAATCCCAGGACGTCCTCGTCAGAACCCAGGATCCAATTGATCATGGAAAGGGAACTAATTACCTGCCACGGTTGGACTTCATGATGCATAACCACATCTCCTGATGACAACGCAAGGACGCTGGCATGGTCTGCAATGCGCTCTATGTTGCTGTCGGACTCCCAAGACAGTCGGCGATGCCACGAAGCACTTCCAGCTGGAAATAAGGACAGACGGTAGCATATTGCACAAACCAGCATGAGGAGAATAAGCACGACGATTCTTTCGCGCTTCTGTAAATTACTGCATTGTCTACTGGGCGTGGAGGAACCATCCCTAATTCCAGCCATGACTCCGCGGGGAGCCTATTGGTTCGTCGACACTTCTACTAAGCTTGTCAGCTTGAATGTTGCTGTGTGAATGTTGGACGGAATTTTCTAACTTCAAACAGGCTGGCGGTGTGGCTTGTGAGTGTGTGAGCCAGATGTGGTTTTGCTACATCGAGAAAGTGTAACCACCACCTTTCGTCAAGCGCTGTGCTGTATCTGTCTCGAGGACTTCGTCGTCATTAGTTGAATGACTTTTCGCTGGAGCCTCATGCATTTGGTGAATGTAGTTGTAGCGACGTGCGCAACATTTGCATTCTCAGTAACCAGATTCGTTCGAGCCACGATGTATTTTCTACAGTGCATATACAGAGAATTTGAACAAAATTCGACGCACGCAAAAATATTGAAAACAAACATTCGCTGCCGTCGAGTTTTCCACTGGCCGCCGCCGCATTGTCGGGTCACTAAGGTCACGCATAGCAACCGATTGTCTGCTCAATCCACAGCAACTCCACTACCTGAATCAGTTGTCCAGCAATTTCGCGAACTAGATCGCGTTCGACGGGAGCAGGACGTTGTTGTGAAGAAGATAAATAAAATCCACTCTAAATTAAGTCAAACCCGTACGTAATGAGCGTCGTTTTCATGCATAAACGCTCCCTTTCGATGGCTCACAACTTGTTCGTGTGTGTGCAATCCATCCTTTCTGAACGATTTCAGCACGAGAGACGGCAGAACGCTTTGGAGAGAAGCTGTGGATAAAGCTACGTGGATTCTACGTGGAGGCGAAACGCCTTGCAAATCTTGAAGAAAGGTGCTGTACAATGTTTAACACACCTTCGCATTGCTCCCTTCCAGCCATGTGTGGAATCGCATAACCTGCCACGACATCCTTCACCGCCATTCCTGCAGTTTCCTTACTTGCTGACTTGACTTCGACTTCGCACGTTTCTGCTTCCCCGTTCCAGTCTCTGTACCTCCTGCATCAGAGAACTCGACCCATCACAAGTTTCAGCCGTTTCAGCGCCGCACGGAACCAAAAAGAAATCAGGCAGGTTATTGCAATCCCATGTTCAGTGTTCGAATATCTATCTAGACACTCAGGTTTGCGTTGTGGGATGTATCACACACAGTCTTCCAACCACTCTGTACAGCATCACTTGAAAAAAACAACAGCCGTGGTGGTTACCTATTTCTCCGAGTCTCATCTTCCTCTCCATTCCTTTGGTGTTGCAGAAGGTCCTCTGGAAGGTGGGAGGAAGAAACGTCAGCGCACAGTTCCAGTCGCTGATGGAGCAGCTGGTGGGGACGGTGGTCCAGGGAACTCTCTAGGGCTGAGCTCATCTGGTGCTGGCCTCAATGATGGCGCTTCTGCGGCGTTGGCAGTTGCCCTGACGCGGGTTGTGGTGGGGGAACAGGTGAGGTCGAGAATCTGAGGAAATCCAAGTGATCGAAGTGCGGACTTTCCTTCTGGTTTCAGATCTTCTCCCTTCTTCCCTCGTACAATCAGGTTGCAGCACGTGTGTCTGCCACGGAAGATGGCAAGGATGAGTGGATTGTTGTAAAGGTCCTGCGCATTGACCGGGAGGCGAACAGGTGAGAGCCATATTCTTTTAAATGGGAAGAATGAGATGTCTGCTCGGGTATCATCTACTTCCGGGGTTCCTTTTCGTTGCTACGTGTAGCTTATTGCTTCCTTACCTTCTATTGCAGATTCGACGTGATCGATGAGGAGCCAGGAGAGGAGGATGAGGGTGGGCAGAGGTGAGCACAGAAAAAAAGGCCCTGACATGTAAAGTTTCTTCACAAGTGATGCACTTTGTAACCAGCAATAAAGCTAACGATTTCTTTCCACTGCAGCCAGCATATATACATACAACCTGGCAACTCTTCTCTGCACACATTTTCCATTGTTTCCCAATACTTCAGAAAGTATCGTCTCTCAGGCTCCTGCATCATCCCCTTCCACAAGCGCAATGAGTGGATGTCAGCCTCCGATTTCCCTCCTGGCTCCAGGGTGCTGGCGGTGTTCCCCAGCACCACTGCACTTTATCAAGCAACAGTGGTTGGTCAACCACGCAAGGTAGGTGCTAGCTGGAGCCAGGTTGCTCAATTTCTGTTAATTTCCTTCGTCTACCAAAATTGACAGTTGTTAAACCTTTTGTGCTACATCGTTCTGATCACCACGTGCCTCAGTTCCTTCCATTGTATTCATTCCTGCCTTGTGGATGGTGCCATACCCGGATTGTAACCTGCTCCCACCAGGGGTTTTCTTGTTAACCCACCTCTCTCTTCTGCCTTGCCCACCAACCTGTACCCTGTCCCTGCCTGATTTGGAACGCGTCCTTGCCGTATGGTGGGATGGCAACATGAACAGCGGAAAAGCGACGAGTAAGAGACTGCACACGTTCCATTTGCCCTCCCTTTCACGTTACAAACTCATCACACTGACCTTTCTCTAGCACCACTCTTGAGTCAAGCTTGTACACAACCCCTGGCCTTACCATGCAACCTTTTGTGCTTCCCAGTCTATAAAGACCTTCTCAAGTATTTCTTCCTTTCTCCTTGCTTTTTAACTTGTCCTTTTGTTTATGGGTACAGCTACTCATTGGAGTTTGACGATGATGAAGAGGAGGGCGTGGAAGGTGTGCCTCGTAGAACTGTCCCATTCAATCATGTCGTGGCGCTCCCCCCTCCTAACCCTAGGTCATACACTAACAGGCAATAACCAGCAACCTGTTACTGTATTCAACACAAGCCAGCACTTCTGGTTTATCTGTTGGATTACAGATGCTTAATATATTTGCCATATGCAATACTAGCTCCAATAGAGCCTGCTAATGGGGATAAATAATTGTTATTGCTTGAGCATGCTAACGGAAGTAATCTTCTGATTTTTCCAACTCTGTACAACAAGCTATGCAGAGGCTACAGGCTAACTTTACTACCTTACCCTCCTTTCAGCTGCTTTCGTTCGTGTAATGGCGACAATGTTTGTCAGAAGAGTAGTGTATTGTGGACCATCTCCAGCCACGCATCTGTGACCCCAGCCTCACACCAGTGCAAGCAGTCATTCTTCTTGGTTGAGCTACCTGTGAGGGTGAACGGGCAGCACAATAAGAGTGGGTTGTGAAACACCCAAAACAACAAGCATCGCAACATCTTCACAGGTTCCTTTCCCTTTCAAGCCCCACATCCTCAGTTCCCATTGGTCTGCCAGACAAACACCAGCCCACATCCATGTCCCAATCTGCAGAGCCAGTGCAAGTTCAGAAATACATATAGAGCAGACGAGATAACTCACTTGTCACTATCCAATTCTGCAGGTGCCCATCAGGCCGCCAGTCACTCATTGGCCCCACGTCCACGTAGCGAATCACCGAGTCCTTCAGCACGCGCCTCTGAACCTCTCTGAACACATTGGTCTTCACATCGCTCCTGCGGAAGTCAACTGTCTGAAAGGGGGAGAGAAATGCAATCAACAGGAGAGGTATAAGTAAAAAAGTCAGTTTGCTACACAAGTGAAAGGGGGTTACCAGATGGGGAATTGTGGTCACTGCAAGGAGGAACGGGACTACTAAAATGTCACACTACAGAAGCCATCGATAGGGGACGGATAGAGAAGGTTAGATGCTAGGAGTTAGCAGAGGACAATTCTGGAGTAATTCGCAAATTCCACCTCTTGAAACCCATGTTGTGTCTTGAGATTGTGTCTTGGATAGGTTGTGTGATCCTCTTCTCCTCTTGCAGGCACGACCCTCCTGACACCTCATCACCTCCCTCACCTCCCCATCCACTCACCTGCGGCAACGTCATCATCTCCTGCACTTCACAAAACCCGGGTTTGACTCCAGGCACGGGTATATTGTAGTGGGAGGGCGAAGCGCCCAGCAGAACCGCCTTCCCCTTAAACCCCTTCAAGCCGCGAGCGGCCGCTAGAGCCGAGCGGGTGACATAGTTTCTTAGAGTGGTGAGGCCGATGGAGTATGCATTGCTGTGAGTCAGGTTCACTCGGCGGTTCTTGAGGTAGTACTGGTTGGAGGGGGAGTACCACCAGTTGGTCGCCTGCAAAACGAAACAATGATTTTGGGATAAACAGACCCAACTCTTTGGATTGTGTATGCGGCGCTGCTATTCAAATTCACTCGGCGGTTCTTGAGGTAGTACTGGTTGGAGGGGGGGTACCACCAGTTAGTCGCCTGCCAAAAAGAAAAAAAGAGGGGGAAAAAAAAGGGGGTTTGAAATAAATTGGTTCCAACCTCTGGAGGGTGTATGCGGTGCTGCGAGTGAGGTTCACTCGGCGGTTCTTGAGGTAGTACTGGTTGGAGGGGGAGTACCACCAGTTGGTCGCCTGCAAGAATGCCGTGGTGGGTTGAGACATAGAAATTTGACTCCAAAGCTACGATGAGTTTTGTTGCACCTCATGAGTTCACTTCACGCAGCGCTTCTCTCGGTAGTAATGGCTGAAGGAGGAGTACCACCATTTGGTCGCCTGCAACAACGCAACAATGCCTTGAGAGATGTGCAGAGATATGCGACGAGAGACGTGCGATGGCGTAGAAATAGAGCAGACGGATGGGCGAGTAGACAGATGGACGGATGGACGGATGGATAGACATACAAACGGACGGACCATTCAGAAGGACAGCTGCAGCTTGCCTGGAAAATGACGATATCAGCCAGTGGCAGGCAATCCACAACCCTTTGATCCATAAGAGTCACTTCAGGAGATTTTCAACAGTGGCTCTTCTCTACTCCATAATGACTCTCAAAGGCAGCTTGCCTGGAAAATGACGATATCGGCCAGTGGCAGGAGATCCACGACGCGTGGATCCAATTGGTCCAGATCAATGCGCTGCGACTGCTGATTGGCCATCGTTTCAATCCTCTCCACCATATCAGCACTCCTTGCAATCCCTTCAGCCGTTCCATTCCTATCCGTGCTCCTTCCCCCAACTGACTCCAAGCTCTCGGGTTGTTGCCACAGCGCCTTTATGTCTTGAGCGTTGGGCTGCCCCGCCAGGGAAGTTGCGTTGTTGAGGTGCGTTGAGAATACCGACACGAACCTGATGTTATAACGAGGGATCTAGTAACGGGGATGGACGGGCGGGGTGCAGAAGGGAAAGGGGTGCGGAGAATGGGGCCGGTGTTGGGCATGAAAAAGACTGAGGTGCTGAAAAGCCAATAAGGTGTAAGGTGAATACATGAAACGTTTTACACATACATATCAGGAAAAATGGCAACTTAGACCAGACAGGACGAGCGCACCAAGCACAATCACTCACAAGCACACTCAATCATTCACCCATGTCCCTGCAAGCTCCGTCTTTCCACTAGCAAGGCGAAAAGTCTCGATGGAGTGGGGCGTGGCAGCATGCAGCGTGCACTTGCCACCCTCACTCACTCACCAGTGCCTCTCACACACTCTCACTCACAAACCAATGCCTCATACACTCACCCACGTCCCTGCGAGTTCTGTCTTTCCACTAGCGAGGCGGAACGTTTTGATGGATCGGGGCGTGGCAGCATGCAGCGTGCACTTTATGGAGTCTGCGAGGTTCTTGGAGACCGAGTCCCCCAGCACCACCACCAGCTTGTTCTTCAACTGCTGCACCAGACGAGCTGGAGTGAGGCGCTGTATCTTGCACCCAATAGGCTGCAGAGGAGTGGACGGAGGAGTGTGAGGAGTGTGAGGAGATTGAGGATGTTTGATCCCTTTTGAGGTGCCTCAAAAGTCGGTTCTTGGAGACCGAATCCCCCAGCACCACCACCGCCCTTTGAGGCGTTGCACCGTGCACCCAATGGGCTGCATAGGAGTGGAGAGGGGTGCAGATGGGTTAGTTCCTTCACAGAATTGGGAAGGTTCTTAGAGACCGAGTCCCCCAGCACCACCACCAGCTTGTTCCTGAACTGCTGCACGAGACGAGCCGGGGTGAGGCGTTGCACCGTGCACCCAATGGGCTGCAAAGGTGTGGAGAGGGGTGCAGATGGATTGATTCTTTAAGACGGTCAGTCTCTTGGACAAAGAATTCCCCAGCACCACCACCAGCTTGTTCTTAAACTGCTGCACGAGACGAGCCGGGGTGAGCCGTTGTATTGCGCACCCAATGGGCTGCAAAGGAGTGGAGAGGGGTGCAGATGGGTTAGTTCCTTTGCAGAATTGGAAAGGTTTTTTGAGACCGATTCCCCCAGCAGCACCACCAGCTTGTTCCTGAGCTGCTGCATGAGACGAGCCGGGGTTAACTGTTGCACCGCGCACCCAAAGGGCTGTCCAGGAGTGCAGATGGGTACAGATGGTTGATCCCCTATACGGAGTTTGGTCAGGTTCTTGGGGACAGAATTGCAGCACCACCACTAGCTTGCTCCTGAGCGAGGCGAGCCGGGGTAAACTGTTGTACTGTTCACCCGAAAGGGCTGGCGTGGATTGATTTGCGGAAGAATTGGGAGGGGGGACCGAGAAAGAGTGAAGGTGGGGTGAGGCAAAAGGGGGATTGACGAGGGGGGGGGGGAGAGAGCAGTGAGGTTGACACGGAATCCCCCAGCAGCAGCATTGGCACCCTGAGATGAGAAGGGGTGGGGTGAGGCGCTGCTGCAGCAGGGCGGGGGGGAAGTGAGGTGGGTGCTCCTCCAATGTGTGGCGGTGCTGAGTGTGGGGCTCTGTGGGTGTTCGTCCCACCAGACGAGAAGGGTTCAGGTGATGTAGTGCTGCCGCTGCTGGCAGTCTTGTCGCCAGTCTTGTTGTTGCTGGCGCTGCTGCTGGCGCTGCCGCTGCTGCGGCAGCGACTCACTCGCCACTGCAGCGACTCACCCGCCACTGCAGCTTCTGGCCCTCCAAGACAAGCCCGCACGCCTCTGCTGTCGCTGCGATGAGCCACGTGGACCAGTCTCGGCTGGCAGTCCAGTCACCCAGATGCACCCGCCATTGCGGCTTCTAGCAATACAAAGTCCGCCCGCCGTGGCTGCAGCTGCTGTTACGAGTTAAGCCCCTCACCACCACTGCAGATTCTGATACCAAAGTCCGTCCGCCCCTGCTCTAGTTGCTGTTCTGTTTTACTGCTTCTGATCATCCAAGACCCAACTCACCAACCACTGCAGCTTCTGATATCAAAGTCGAAGTTCGTCCTCCCCTGCCGCTGTTTTCAGCCAGTCCCTGCTCAGCCTGCCCATTCACTCACCCTATCTCACCCGCCATACTATCATGTTATACACAAGGCCCAACTCACCAGCCACTGCAGCTTCTGATAGTCGAAGTTCGTCCGCCGCTTCTGTCCCTGCTGTTACCAATTCACCATCCAGCTTATGAGAATAACCCAAGATGTGACTTACCCACCACTGTAGCTTCTGGTAATCGAAGTTCGTCCGCCCCTGCCGCCGGCAGTTGTGCGACGACCGGATGAACGGACACGATGCGCCGTTGTACCTCGGAAGCTTCCTGGAAGGCACCCACATTCCGCGGAAAATGCTGCAGTTCCATGCGCGCTGGGGAGGCTTGACGGGCGCTGCTGGGGAATGGGGAAGGGGAGGAGGAAGGGGGGGGGGGGGGGGGGGGAGAGGGGAGGGAAAGAGGGGAGGGAAAGAGATTCGGAATGGGGAAAGAGCAGGAGAGTGATGGGGGTGGAGAGGGGGGGACCGGGAGAGGGGGTAAAGGTTTTGAGGCGCCTCTTTTTAGGCGCGTTTGGAAGGCTTGAAGGGTGCTGTCGGGTGTGGGGAAGAAAAAGGAAGAGGATCGACAATGATTTGCTTTGTTTTCCGTTTCGTCCCTCGCAAAGTTTTGAAATAAGTGCTTCCAGAAGTTTCCGAAAGCGAGGCTACTCACTGGAGTCTGTCTGATATTTTGCGCGACTACCGCCGTCGACTGCGCCGCGAGACCCGCTCAGCATGTCGGCAGTCATCAGGCACGACACCAGAAGACGTTTCGTCCATATATTAACGCTCTCCCGCCGCTGCATCTTCATCCATGACCGTTGATTGTGCTCTTGCCGCTGCTGCGTCGTCGATTCTATCGCGCGCGTGCCCAGGAATCGCATGGTCGTGTAATATAACGCGTAAATATGCAGTATCAGTATCCGGATGTGCCTTTTTCAATCCTTCCAGAGTAGAATCCAGGCGTACGCAGTATCCGAAGTCCGTGAAATCTAGCTTGGCGATTCAATCGAATGCAAGTCGAGCTATTGCTGCAAAGCGAGTCGGTTCTTCGCGGGGACGAGAGATGCCGGACGTGAAACTGCTGCGGCGTGCGGCGAGAGCGGCGAATACATCATGTGGCGCCTACTGCGACGACGGATGACGACTACAGGAGAGTGAGGATATATTAGCGAGCCGCATCGCATCGCAATGCGCGCACGGGCCTGCTGTTACACCTGGTGGAGTCAGGGAGAGACGAACGAGCTAAAAAGGGTTACGAACGACGCGATGCAGGGCCGAGACAAATAGGGGTTCTGGAGCGAATCGAGTTATCAGGAATAATCATGGACTCTTTGAGACGAGGAAGTTCGCTTCCGCGCCGACTATTTACATTGCAGGGGCTTCCGATCTGGAAGTCCAGATGAAGAACCAGGAAAACTTCAGGACGTGTTTTTTTCTGAAGAGTCCCATGTGAGTCATGGCAGAGCTCAATTCGTTTGTGTGCAAACGAACAGCGAACACTGGAACCCTGTTTCGTTGCTGCTGGTAGCCACACTCGCGAACTAGCTTTGGCATCCAGCCGCCGATGTGTGGAACGCGTTCCGAGGGTCCCTTCCCTCGTTCAAGGGCGGCGGAAGTGGCGAGGCGCGATGTCGGCTATTCGGGGTCTTGGTTGGGGCTTGTGTGGTATG